CTGTGGTGGCCGGGAGCGGCCACTGCACTCCAGTCTGGGCGACAGAGTAAGACTCCAACTTAAAAAAAAAAAAAAATGATACTTTGATCAGATTTCTCTATAGACCCTTTTTTTTAAAAATTGGAGTCTCATTCTGTCTCTCAAGGCTGGAGTGCAGTGGCACACTCACAGCCACCGCGCCCTTGACCTGCTGGTTTTAGGCAGTCCTTCCACTTCAGCCTTCCAAGTGGCTGGAACTACAGGCACGTGCCACCATGCCCGGCTATTTTTTTCATTTAGTAGAGATGAGGTCTCGCCAAGTTGCCAGCGGTCTCAAACTCCTGGGGTCAAGCAATCCTCCTGCCTCGGCCTCCCAGAGTGCTGGGTGTTAGCCACCATGCTGGCCAGACCCTTCTTTAAATGTACCTTCTACCTGCACCCTTGTTTCATTACTTCTCTCTGCCCTTTCTTTTTTATGCACTTGTCTTTCCTATCTTATGAAAAGTTTTCATTTTACGTCTTCTCAAAAATATTTTTGTATGGTTTTCCTGCAGCCAGTACTCTCTTTTCCTCATTCCTTCATCATCCCTGTCATTCTGTTCCTGTTATACTTTTGAAACTCTCAAAGTTTACTAGAGACAACTTGCCAAATCCAGTGGTTCTTTCTCTGTCTTCCACCCTGGCCTCTTTATTGCACTGTGTATTACTTCTTTGGTTTCTTTCCCTAACATTTGCTCTACTGTTTCTTCAGGTTCTTTGATTATATTTGTTGTCATTTCTAGTCCTTTCTTCTCATCTCAACTGCCAGAGTGTGCAGGGCTCAGTCTTTGACCTTTTGTTGTTATCTTTTTGTGTGCTGCTTATTGAGAATTCTCATCTATTCGTAGAATCTTGATGCTTTCAGCTTTATCGTGTGATTTTAGTTCTAACCTCTTAATGTTTCCTCCTATCATATACATTATATACACAGGAATTATTATTACTTTGAAAGAGACTGTGTCTGATTACCCATTTGTAATCTGGGTGTCCACATATGTATTGCACATTTCCATTTAGATTTTTGTCAACTCAGTTTCAGCATCAGAAATAGAATATCATCCCTTCCCACTCTACCCTTTCACAAACCCTTTTCCTTTCTTAATTGCCTTAATTGTGGTACCTTTGTAGTACCACGCCCATTATGTAAAAGCTTTGTCTCGTCTTGTCTTATCTGTTTTGTTCATAGTTATGGTTAACTGGTTTTGTTTTTTCATCTTCGCAGTGTCTCTCATCACTCTCCCTTCCTTTTTTTTTTTTAGCTGCCTTGCCATCTTGTTCCATTCCTTAGTTTTCTCACCTTGGTTATTTCAAATAGTCCTTTATTTTTTATTTATTTATTTTTTGAGTTGGAGTCTCACTCCGTCGCCCAGACTGGAGTGCAGTGGCCGCTCCCGGCCACCGCAGCCTCGACCTGCTGGGCTCCGGTGATCCTTCCGCCTCAGCCTTCCGAGTAGCTGGAACTACAGGCGCGCTACCAGGCCCGGCTCATTTTTGATTTATTGTAGAGATGAGGTCTTGCCAAGTTACCCAAGCGGGTCTCGAACCCGCCCACGGGCTCAGGCAATCCACTCACCTCAGCCTCCCAAAGTGCTGGGATTACTGGCTGAGCCACCGAGCCCAGCTTCAAATAGTCTTTTAATTTGTATTCAGTTATTGAATGCTTTTTATCTTCTTTCTGTTCCCTCCTGATAATTAATGATTTTCTAAAGTATATTGTTAGGAATATAAGCTTTATAATGTGTTAGAAAGTATTGCAAGGAGAAATTGTTTTGTCATTAGAAAACTTTGGAAAATGATAGGTTAAGAAAAGATCATTGTGACTGGACATGGTGACTCACCCCTGTAATCTCAACACTATGGGAGGCCGAGGCAGGAGGATTGCTGGAGGCCAGGAGTTTGAGACCAGCTGGGCAACATAGTGAGACCTTGTCTCTATGAAAAATTTTTAAAAATTAGCTGAATGTGGCAGCAGACATCTAGTCCCAGCTATTTGGGAGGCTGACACAGAAGGATTGCTTGAGCCCAGCAGTTGGAGATTGGTGGGCCCTGATTGCACCACTGTACTTCAGCCTGGGCAACAGAGTGAGAATCCAATTCAAAACAAAGGAAAGAGAAGAGATAAGTGGGGTTCTTCACTGCAAAACATCTTTGATCCTTTAATATACCGGTGTTCCCTGTTAATCTTTCGTGTGAGGCATATAATCTTCTGCATTTCCCAAAAAATCTGTTTTTCCCCAGATTGTCTTTTAGGATAGTAGTCCTTGGAGCACACTTTGGGAAATGATGCACACTTCTTGAAACTGACAGAAGTTGCAGTTAGGGTTCTCTCTGGAGCGGCATTGCACGTTGTTCTGAGGCTGTGTGAATTCTTGCAAATTAAGAAACACCTATATTTGGGATTGTTTTTACATAAAAATAATTTTTAAAGAAAACACTAAATGCTAATGTGGGAAAATGGAAAGGGATGATAGTATGGCCACAGACATCTAGATTAAACTGTTGTCGAAAACAAAGTGTATGATGAAAGAATAGAATTGTGTCTGCCAGTGAATACATTATCAAGTTCCTACCTGGTTTAGGTGAAGAAAGTTTGCACTTACAGCGGAACCTTGCTCAAGTAAACAGAAACTGTAAAGCTGTGTAATAAATGGGAGTCTTAGGAAAATGTTTTTCATATGTTCTTAAAGTAGCATACTGAATTTGACTTAACTTTCTTTTTGACATCATGCTGAAGTAGATTATATTTTGATTGCATAATTTAAGTCATTTTAGACCTCTTTGTCCTTGCCTGTGTGTGTGTGTGTGTGTGTGTGTGTGTGTGTGTGTGTGTGTGTGTGTGTGGAGTTGGAGTCTCATTCTGTCGCCCACATTGGGGTGCAGTGGCATGCTCATGGCTACCACAGCCTCGACTTGTTGGGCTTAGGAGAACCTTCCTCCTCAGCCTTCTAAGTAGCTGGAACCACAGGCGTGTGCCACCACGACCAGCTAATGTTTTGATTTAATGTAGAGATGAGGTCTCACCAAAAAAAGTGCTGGGATTACAGGTGTGAGCCACAATGCCTGGCTATCCTTGCATATATATCAATGTTATTTTCAGATCATAGATTACTAATTTAACTTGTTCAAGGGTATATTATCTCTAGGGGCAGTAATTTAAAAAAATTAATCTGTAGACTGGGTGTGATGACTCACTCCTATAATTCCAGCATTTTGGGAGGCAGAGGCAAGAGGGTTGCCTGAGTTTAGGAGACTGAGACCAGCCTGGGCAACATGGCGAGACCTCATTTCTACAATAATCAGAAAAGTTAGCCAGGTGTAATGGCAGGCAGTTAGCCAGGTATGATGATGTGTAGTGTCAGCTACTCAGGAGGCTGAGGCAGAAGGATCACATAAGCACAGCTGGTCAAGACTGTGGTGCCAGGTATGATAACGTGTAGTGCCAGCTACTCAGGAGGCCGAGGCAGAAGGATTGCCTAAGCCCAGCAGTTCAAGGCTGTCGTGGCCATGATCGTGCTACTACATTACAACCTGGGAAACAGTGAGATTCCAACTCTTCCCAAAAAGTTAATCTTTGTATTATTTTAAAGAAAAGGTGAAGAAAACCACATAAAACATACAGCTCTGTGAATTAAGTGGTAAACCTTCTTGTCATTACCATTTGAGTCAAGAAATAGAACTTTATCAGCTACTGCAAAAGTACCTCCCAGTAGGAGTTTGCCCATCTCTCCTCAAAAAATAATTTTGATTGCCTGAGCCCAGGGGATCAAGACTAGCCGCAACTTGGTGAGACCGTGACTGTTCAACAAATAAAAAAATCAGCTAGATGTGGTGGCACATGCCTGTGGTTCCAGCTCCTTGAAAGGCTGAGGCCGAAGGATGGCCTGAGCCTAGCAGGTCAAGGCTGTGGTGGCCATGAGTGTGCCACTGTACTCCAGTCTGGTGATAGAGTGATACTCCAACACAGGAAAAAAATCTTGACTTATAGTAGTCATTTCCTTTCATTTTCTATCATCTTATCACTCAGATGTGGATCTTTAAACACCATTTTAAAAAAATTTGTAATTATATATAGGAAATATTTTGATGTGGCATGCCATTGTACCTTTTATGTTTATGTCTTAAATCATAGATTTACCTGTAGAAAAACAAAGTAACTTTAGTTCTTTGTTGCTTTAAAGACTAGAAAGACTTGATCTCATGACATAAACTGTATTTCAGGGTGTCCTGATGTCAGAAGAAGAAGTGTTTGAGCTTGTTCCTGACGATGAGCGGCAGTGTTCAGCTTGCAGAACCACGTGTTTTCTCTCTGCTCTCACGTGCTCCTGTAATCCTGAGCGACTTGTGTGTCTCTACCATCCAGCTGATCTGTGCCCCTGCCCCATGCAGAAGAAATGTCTTAGGTATCCAGAGGCATCTTGTAAAACTTCCAGTACCTTTTTTAAACAAACAGTGAAACCTATCTTAATGTTGTTCTTAGTTACTCCCTTCCTTGTCTCAGAAGTGGTAAAGTCTGTCTGTCCACTTCCCTGCTTGAGGACCAGGCCCATAAAGTATTTATTTTTGGCCCTAAACTTGGCCGCTAAAATTAGTTTGTTAAGTTAATCTCAGATGTTCCTTGTCTTCCTGCATTGCCACTGTGAGCTGCTTTGATTTTCTCTGTATGTGAACCAAGATCTCATTCTCCTGGCCATTGTACTTTTCTTAAACTGATTTAAACTTAATTATTTTCAAGTCATTGCTGGTTTTGGAGGCTTTTATTTCTGTCATTTTGTTTTTTGTTTTGTAGATATCGCTACCCATTAGAAGACCTCCCTTCTCTGCTATATGGTGTAAAAGTCAGGGCACAGTCCTATGACACTTGGGTCAGTCGAGTTACAGAAGCATTATCTGCTAACTTCAACCACAAAAAAGGTGAAAATTCCTCCTTTTATATGCGTATACTGAAATTGTCGCTTTTAAAGAGGCTTTGTATAGTTTGGTTTTTCCTCCATTAAAGAAGAATCCTAGGCTTTATATGCAATGTTAGACTGATAGGTTGGTTGAATATAGACTTAATTTTCTATTTGAGAGCTCTCTTTTAAATGAAGAAGCTACATAAAATGGGACTAGTATCTAACTTGCAGTAGATGGGGCATACGTCTTGGGAAGCCTTTGTTACGGTTCAGTGTATACGAACACTGAAGGCTTTTTGGAAAGAGAAATTTCCTTCCCTCTGAGAAGTTGTCATAGGGCTTAGGAACGAGCACCTGGTCGTTAGCTTTTATTACATTGGTGAGATTTTCCCAGCTGTGGTATGTTTCTCCTAATAGGTTAGGGATTCACTTGAGTGAGGCTGGTTAAGATTTTAGAATGGCTGTTTGTGTCTCTGGTCATATTACGTGGCTTTTTATTTATTTTTTTACAGATTTGATTGAATTGCGAGTAATGCTGGAAGATGCTGAGGATAGGAAATACCCTGAGAATGATCTCTTCCGAAAACTCAGGGATGCTGTAAAAGAAGCTGAGACCTGTGCGTCTGTGGCTCAGCTGCTTCTGAGCAAAAAGCAGAAACACAGGTAAACCTAAGAAGAGCTTACTTCTCCGGTGGCTTCCTGTTTCCTTCAGAGTGAAAGCCAACATTTGGTGTGGCTTGTGAGGCCCTGCGTTGTCTTTGACCTCTTGTGGCTGTGTCTCTCCCTTTCCCATTAGTGCCCTGGTTTTATTGCTGCTGTTCTCGCTTCTTTTTTATTTGTTTGAGTTTTATATGCTTGAGTTCTTGCATCATTTAAAACCAGCCACTTACTTTCGAGATGTCCTTGCGTTGTGACATCGTGTTCTCCCTTGTTTCTTGCTCCAGCCTGCAGTGCTCTCTCTCTTGCTGTCCTTCACAGACAGCAGGCACTTTCCTTCAGCCTTGCTCTTGACTGTGCCTGGCATTCTCTTCCCACCAGAGCCAGGTGGCGGTAGCTTGTTTCCTCCCTTCTTTCAAGGCTTTTTTTATCCAAATGTCATTTTCTTGGAGAGACCTTTTCCGATGTACCTGTGTAAAATTGCAACCGTCTTCCCGTTTTTTCTGCTTTGTTTTTCTCCTAACCTTGTCACCTTCTGATATTCTCGCTTCCTTATTTTTTTGTCTGTGTCCACTCCTCACTAGGATGTACACTGAGGCAGCATGTCAGGGCTTTTTGTCTTTTTTTGGTTACCACATATTTCTTATGCTTCGAACAATGCCCGGCACATTATTTGTAAATAAATAAATAAATAAACAGAGACTGCAGGCTGAAGGCAGGTGGCAGCAAAGAGTAACTTTGATGGATATAGTTGAAGTCATGTATTGTTAAGCACAGAAGTGTGTACTCTTGATTTAATGTAATTCAAATATATTATATTGTCTTTATAAGTGGTATTATAAGTATTCAATTTCCTAATAAGTGGTATTATCTTGTAGTCATTTCAGCACATTCCTTGTATCTGAATAGCTTTTTCTATTGTGGTTTATATTGAATTTTAAATTACTGTATAAAGTTATAATCTACCGTCTTATTAGAGAATTTTTCTTAGAGACATTGATCAGTTGACCTTAATTTGTCATTGGGTCTGTGACCCTCTTGGAGACTATAGTAAAAGTTTAGGGACTCTCTTATAAATGTGCATGTACACACAAAACTTCAAACAGTTTTAGAGGGCTCATTGTCTCTTAAAGCAGGTTAAAGGTGCTTGTTTCACATTTTAACCTTCTTGAAATACAGAATTTAGTTGTGGTTTTTCTTTCTATCTTTTTTTTTTCTTTTTTTAAATTTTTGAGTTGGGGTTTCACCTCTGTCATCTAGGCTGGAGTACAGTGGCATGATCACAGCTCACCACAGCCTTAACCTCCTGAGAAACTGGGACTGCAGGCATGAACACCCAGCCCAGCTTCTTTTTTGATTTTTGTGTAGATTTCACTATGTTGCCCAGGCTGGTCTCGAACTTCTGGCTCAAGCAATCCTCCCACCTTGGCCTCTCAAAGTGCCGATTATAGGTGTGAGCCACCATGCCAAGCTCAGAATTTAGTTTTATCAATGAACTTAATATTCCACTATGAGGAATTTGTTTAATGTTTGAAATGCTTAATATTTTGAGATTGGAGGAACCGTAACTTGGAGAGTTGAGTCTTTGCGTTATTAACTAGAGAACGTAAAAAGTATGTGGCCACCATTGCAATGGAATCTCTCAAACACTAGAGTTCTAGGATTACTTGGGCTTGAATTCTGAAGGCAGTAGGAACCTCTTTGATATCAGAACGGTGACTAGTGAGTTTTTCTTACTTGTGTCTCAATATTATTTCACATCAGACAGTGCCCAGATAGTGGGAGGACTCGGACCAAACTGACAGTGGAAGAATTGAAGGCCTTTGTCCAACAACTTTTTAGTCTTCCATGTGTCATCAGCCAAGCTCGGCAAGTGAAGGTGGAGTATTACAATCTTTTCTTGGGTAATGTCCTTTGTAATATGGGTTACTGTTTTGGTTTAACAGATGGTATGTCTAGGCTAATTTTTTGTTCTGCTTGTTTCTTTTCTCACATGTTTTGCTATTTAAAGCTTTTTAGTAGGCTGTCTCTTGGTTTTATTTTAGCCTTTCTCTCTCTTTTAAAATTCTGAAACTAACACTAGTTTAAAAATTTTTTTTCTATAGTAAGTTTAGGTCAGAACCTCTTTTAACATAGTTATAATTGAGTTGTAAAAAATTAGTTAAAAGAATTAATGTGTATCAGTTGCTTATTAGCACATGAGCTTTTAAAAATGCAGAACTATGAAATTACCAGGGTCCTGATGGTTTAATGAATATATAAAATCTTAAAAGTGTATGTCAAGTATATTAATCTGTATAGTTAGTAGTCTTTTGATAGTTTGGGGTATATTTTTTGTTTTGGGGTGGATAGGGTATCTAAAATAGTTTTTTTTTAAATCAAGATTATCAACTTGCAAAATCTAGTGTCAGTTGTATTCATGGTATTTTGATAGTTGACTACTCTTTCTTTCTTGAATGACATTGTTGTCTAAGCCTCTGTGACACCATAGCTTTCTGGTTTTCTTCTTACTTAACTCATTGGCAGTTCCTTGTCTTAAGTCTTCTTGCTATTTGTTTCCTTCTTCGCTTGACTTCTAAGTGTTGGGTATATTAGGACTCTCAGACCTTTCTTTAGATGTGCCCTCTCCTGATACCTTATTTACTCAGTGACATTAAATATCACCTATATCCTGTTGATTCCCAAATCTCCAGCTTTCACTGCTTTTCTTTTTTTCTACAGACTTATATATCCAGGTGCATAATCTACATTCCATTTAGTAGACTATAAGGCATCTTTTTTTTTTTTTTTTTTTTTGAGACAGAGTCTTACTCTGTTGCCCAGACTGAAGTGCATTGGTGTGATCACTGTAATTTCAAACTGTTAGGCTCAAGTGATCCAGCTGTGTCAGCCTCCCAAGTAGCTGGTACTTTAAGTATGTGCCACTACACCCACCTAGTTTTTTTGTTTTTTGTGTTATAGAGATGAGGAGTCTCACTGTGTTACCTAGACTGGTCTCAAAACTCCTGGCCTCAAGCTGTTTTCCTGCCTTTCCAAAGTGCTGGGATTACAGTGTGAGTCACTATGCTCTGCCTGAAAGACATCTTTTTTTTTTTTTTTTTGAGACAGAGTCTTACTTGCCCAGGTTCGAGTGCAGTGGCATGTTCACGGCCACTCCAGTGTCAACTTGCTGGGCTGAGGCGATCCTTCTGCCTCAGCCTCCCAAGTAGCTGGAACTATAGGCGTGCACTACCATGCCCATCTAATTTTTTGATTTACTGTAGAGATGAGGTCTCATCAAGTTGCCCAGGCTGGTCTCGAACCCCTAGGCTCAGGCAGTCCTCACTTCGGCCTTCCAAAGTGCTGGGATTACAGGCTTGAGCCACCACACTCGGCCCTGAAAGACATCTTAAAAGCTTTTTAATGATCCTTGATTTCTTTATTGATCAAAATTATTGATTTCTTTATTTCCCTTTACGTCATGTCCAATCTTTAAATAAATGCTGACTGCTATTACCTTCGAAATATACTGCAAAGCAAAACAATTGTCATCATCTCCATTGTGTGAACTATGCTGCTGCCACTGGAATCTCCCCCCCAGATTACTGCAACAGCTTTTCAGCTGCTTTCTCTTCTTCTGCTTGTCCCCAACACTTTATTTTTGTTTAGAACTATCATCTAAAATATAAATCAAATCACATCATTCACCTGTGGTTAAAATTCTCCAGTGGTTTCCTCAAAGCCATTAGAATGAAATTCAAACTCAGTATAATCTACAAGAGACTATGCAATCTGACCACTGCTTATCTTTTTTTTTTTTTTTTTTTGAGTTGAAGTGTAACTCACCCAGGCTAGAGCACAGTAGCACACTCACAGCCACCATAGTCCCTGCTAGGCTCAAGCGATCCTTCCACTTCAGCTTTCCAAGTAGCTGGAACTACAGGTGTGCACCACCATGCCAAGCTAATAATTTTGATTTATTGTAGAGATAAGATCTTGCCAAGTTGCCCAGGCTGGTCTCAAACCCGTGAGCTCAGGCATCCTCTTGCCTCCGCCTCCCAAAGTGCTGGTATTACAAACATGAGCCACTATGCCTGGCTTGCTTATTCTTTAACTACATTTTTTCTTACCTACTTGTAGCAACATATCATAAAGCTCATCCTTTAAAAGCTTTTGTAGTTATTATTTGCCCGTGTAAGCTGCTCTTCCTCCCGATCTTCATGTAGTTCCCACTTCCACTCATTTTAGTGTCTGTTCATCTGTTTTTTTTAACCCCCATTGTTAAGTAATATGCCCTTCCTCTTCTGGTCATTCTTGGTTATTCTCTATTGTGTTGCCCTATTTTAATTTCAGAGTACTTAACACTACTGAAACATTCATATAGTCACTATCTGGCCTCCTGTAATGAATGTATGTTCCTTAAAGACAAGGACTTTTTATGTATTAATCAATAATGTGTGGTTAGAACCGTTCCTGCATCTAAGTTAGCAGTCTTATTTTTTGAACAAATCAATACTATTTTAAAAGTAACACTGTGGATAGAAGTAGTTACAGAGAAACTTCTTTTTTTAAGAAACTGCGTGGGCGACAGTCTTGTTCTGTTGCCCAGGCTGGCGTGCAATGGCATGGTCATAGTTCACTGCAGCCACAAACTCCTGGCTCAAATGATTCTCCTGCCTCAGCCTCCTGAGTAGCTAGGACTGTAGGTGTGTGCCACTATGTTCAGCTAATTTTTAAATTTTGTGTCGAGGCAGGGTCTCACTGTGTTGCCCAAGCTAGTCTCAAACTCCTGACCTCAAGCAATTCTCCTGCCTTTGCCTCCCATAGTACTAGGATTACAGGTAGGAACTACGATGCCATGTCTGAAGCATGCTTATTAATTTAACAACGATATCCAAATATGAGCTCAGCTGATCCTCCTGCATCAGCCTCCTGAGAAGCTGGGACTACACGCACACCACCTTACCCAGCTGTATCTTTTAAATTTGTTTTTTATTTTGATTTTTTTGGTGACATTTTCAGAATCTGCTGGATGACGTGGAAGAGTTTCATGAGCGAGCTCAGGAAGCCATGATGGATGAAACCCCGGATTCTTCCAAACTCCAAATGTTGATAGACATGGGCTCTAGCCTCTATGTGGAGCTACCTGAGTTACCCCGACTGAAGCAAGAGCTACAACAGGCTCGGTGGCTGGACGAAGTAAGACTGACTCTGTCAGATCCACAGCAAGTCACTTTGGATGTCATGAAGAAACTGATAGACTCTGGGGTAGGGCTGGCGCCCCACCATGCCGTGGAGAAAGCAATGGCTGAACTACAGGAGCTCCTCACAGTCTCTGAACGATGGGAAGAAAAGGCTAAGGTCTGCCTACAGGCAAGGTGAACATATATTTTGATGACTGTTGCCTCTTTAATAACTAAATCAGAAAGAAGAATGGGAAAGAGGAATGTACGGACCTATTTCATAACATGGTTTGTTTGTTTATTTTACCTTTCAGGATTTTAATGTGTCCGAAGAGTTTTCTCCTTGACAGGCAGCATTAGTCAAGTTGAATAGGTGGGCAGGGCATTTCTGGCCAATCGAGGGCCAGAAGGAAGGAGAGACCTCCTCCCTGCTTTGGCAAGCAGCTCCGGGAGAGGTGCATGTGGGTGGCAGTGAGTACAGACAAGCCAAGCTGGGGAGTTTCTTGCTGGACAGGAGTGCTCACAGGCCATACCTTCCTCAGCCCTTGAAGCACGTCATCATGTCTGGATGTGAGGGTGGCAGTGGGTGGCAGTGTCAGGGCATGGGTTCTCCTGTGTCTTGTTCCAACAACTGGTTTATTGTGATGACATTGTTTAATAACATATTTTGTGCCTTCTCCAACCAGTCACTAAGTGATCAAACGGGGGTGCATGTAGATCGTTTAATACTTGCCAAATATTGTACAGAGTACTTTGGCAGATACTTGTAAGTTATACAAAGCAGTATTTTGTTTAGAGTCCGTATTAATAATATACTTAGGAACTAAGACTTATCAAGCTCACTATAATATGTTATAGATATTAACTGAGAGGCACAGAAAAATGTTTTAGGAATTAAGACGAGAGTTCATGGTGAGCTTGGATAGTCAGCAGGGAAGCTTGAAAAAAGTAAGACCTTAGGTAGAGCCTTGAAGGATGAGTAGAATTGAAGTGCTATGGAGAGAAGAAAAATGCCATAAACTAACTTTAAGGAACATGTAGGGTGTGGTCAGGTGACAGAATAACTGAGCTTCACTGGAGTGGAGGATTTATGCAGGACAGTCTTGGGAGAGAAGAATCAGGCATGAGAATGTTAAGTAGTTGTAATAGCATTGGCAATCCATTGGACTTAATGAGATTTAAATAAAGTGTTCATCGTATCTGACTGTATATCAGCTAATTTGGCTGATAATTGCGGTGTTGTTTGTGAAAGCAATTGTTTAGCAGATAAGATTAATATTTATATAATTTCTATTGTGAAGATGAGGAAACTGGGAGACTCAGAGATCACATAGTTACTAAGGGATAGAGCAGAAATTTAAAGCCACTTGCACTTCATGGCAACATTTCTATGCAGTTAGCTACTTTGCCAGCCACTTATTTTGGATGCTTTCTATATGAAAGGCTTTGATGATTTAACTAGCACAGCTCTACTCAGTCAAGAGAAGCTTCCATATACATTGGATATTTTGCTGTCCAGATGCCATGCAGAATACATGCTAAAATTTATTCTTAGCTTTTCCTATCTGAACTATTCAGATTACTGTGTCTTTAGATTAATGACAGTTCCAGGAGGTAGGAACATGTCAAGTGGACAAAGCTAAATAACTCTGGGAGTAAAACTCTGATTTGGTATACTTGTTGCAGATTGTAGTAGCCTGCCAAATGAAATTTTGTTAGCAGTAATAGTTGAAAACTTTCATTTTCCAATCTTCCATGTTTAATGTCACCAAATTCTGATGATTTTACCTCCAGAATGTCTTTCTTATCTCTCTTCCAACTGCATTGTCACTGAGTTATATTCTTATATTTTCCCTTGATATTTGCAATTTGTTAAGTATTGATGGAGTACTTACTACATGCCAGGCATTATTTCTTTTATTTTTGTGGGGTTTTGTTTTGTTTGGTGAGTCAGGGTCTGACTCTTGCCCAGGCTGGAGTGCAGTGGCACAATCACGGCTTACCACAGCCTCGACCTCCTGGCTCAAGCGATCCTTCTGCCTCAGCCTTCCAAGGAACTGGGACTACAGGCACATGCCACCATATAATTCCCTATATCCAAAATTGGACTCAATAACTCCTTCCCATCTCCTCTTTATTCTTTGAACTACACCGTCTTTCATTTGAACAAGGGAAGTACTTTGGTAGTTAACTTTCACCCCTCCCTTCTCTTTTTTTGTCCTCAAACTCAGTCATGCTGGTTATATTTTTCCAATGTTTCTTAACTTTTATTCTTTTAAAAAAAAATCTGCAAATGGATTTGTTTGACCCTCATTTTTGAAGAACTTTTTTTCATTAGTTATTTTGCCTTAGCACTTTGAGTATATGATTCTGTCTGCTGCTTTGAAATGAATCTTTTCACTTGGGATGGTTATGGGATTATTCATTCTTTTTCTCATTCCCCTTGGGCTACTATCTCAACTATCCTAGATAACAGCAGCAGGTTCTTTTATGGTCTTACCCCTCTCTAATCCATTCTCTACGCTGTCACTAGTATGATGATTTCACTCTTTTCTTAAAGCCCTTCTTTAGTTTCCCGTTGCCCTTAAGGTGAAGTCCAAACTCCCTAGCCTGGTTTACAAGACTGTCTGTCATCTCACCTCTTGTGTAGTTAATGTCTAGTCTTACCTCTCACCATTCCTTTTTTTTAAAATTTTTTTTTTGTATTTCTTGTTCGAAGCATTGTGATTACCCCCTGCCCCAGACATACATGTTTCTTCCTTTCTCTGGACCTTTGTGCATGTTTATTTTGCCCTCCTGTGGAGCACTCTTCTTCTGTTCATCCCCTGTGGTGTACCCTTACCCCTACCCCACCCCTGGCCCCAGCTTTCCTGACTGACTCATATTTAGAAAGTGTGAGAAAGCTTAAGTGTTACTTTTGGAAGTCTACTTTCACTTGCCAAGTCTATTAGGTTCTCCTGCTATGTATTCTGATAGCATCTTTACTTTCCTTTTTAATGCGCTCATCACAGTGCATTTTAACTTTTTTTGGTGGTTGTTTGTTTATTTTTTGAGTAGGCGTCTCACTCTTACCCAAACAGAAGTACAGTGGCATGATCACAGCTTACTGCAGCCTCAAACTCCAGGGCTCAGGCATTCCTTCCATCTCAGTCTTCCGAGTAACTGGGACTACAGGCTTGTGTCACCACGCCCAGCTTTTTGTATGATTTTTTTTTTGGTAGAGATGATTGTGTGTGTGTGTGTACGTGTGTACACTTACATTGCCTAGACTGATCTCAAACTCCTGGGCTCAAGCAGTTCTCCTGCCTTGGCCTCCCAAAGTGCTGGGATTATAGGCATGAGCCATAGTGCCCAGCCCTATGATTTCTTAGCAAATCTTCCTTGCAAAATTAAAGAGCTTCAGGCGAGGACTTTCACTCTTGCACATTAACAATTGCCAGAACCTAGTATAGTGCCATGTAGTAAGATTCATGGATGATGAAACAATTCCCACCTCAGTAGCTTCCCATTGCTTTCCATAGTGAAATTTATGGCTCTCAGGACTCAATCTGTTTACATCTTTCCTACCAGATACTCCTGTTTTCTGCCCTACTTTTATTCCACTCATCCCCCACCTCCAGTCCTCCACACGACCCCTCAATCTCAAAGCCATATGCTTTTTAAGTGTTTCTCTGTGTTTAAGTACCTTTATTGATTATATTCTATGTTTCTTTAATTTTTCATTTGACAGACTCACACTTCTGTAAGGCCTATCCCAAAGCCTTTCTCAACTCTCCTGGGTAGGATTAATCACTGCCTCTGCAGCAGTGATTCCATAGTAATTTGTTTTTAGTTCCCAGTACAAGTATAATTCTTACCTTGTATTGTGTTTAGTTGAGGATAAGGTCTCTACTTTATTTATCTTCGTGTAATTGATGAATGTGGTTGAATTAAATGTACACTGCCAGCATTTAATGGATTTCTTCTCTGTGGCTTTCTGCATTGCTATTACATGCATATCTCTGACAATTTCAGATACTGTGAGAGGACTAAAGTAGAGCCAGTCTAGTATAGTGAAAGAAGTATGGGTCCGAGACTCATTCTGAATCAGTATTTCAGGTGTCATTTATTATATCGTATGACTTTGGGGAAAGTAATTTATCTTCTTTGAGTTACAGTTTTCTTATCTATAAACCAGAAAGAGATACTAGCTGCTTTGCCTCCCTTATAGCATTGGGGTAAGAATTAAATGAAATCATGTATGTGAAAGTTCTCTACACATTCTGAAATGTTATTTAAATGTTGACAGCAGTTGGACTTTTTCTCATGCATCCCACTCTGTTTTTATTGTTTTTTTAGACCACGGCACAGTGTGACAAGTTTGGAAAGCATTGTGAATGAAGCCAAGAACATTCCAGCCTTTCTACCCAATGTGTTGTCCCTGAAAGAAGCCTTACAAAAGGCTCGAGAGTGGACAGCTAAAGTGGAAGCTATTCAGGTAAGGAGACTTTCGCATTATCCTACCCATCAGGTAATGCCTGTCTTACAGATGAATCCTTCAAACCTTTAATTCTTGAGACTAGATTAATCATAATACAGATGATTCTGAATTAGGATGACTCTGACTTACACTTTTTCAACTTTTGATGATGTGAAAGCCATATGCATTCAGTAAAAACTGTGCTATAGATTTTGAATTTTGATCTTTGTCTGGACTGGCGATATATGGTGTGATATACTCACACGATTACTGGGTAGTAACAGCGAGCCTCACCCACGTGGATGTAAGCATTCTGAGCATATTTAAGGTAGGCTAGGCTAAGCTATGATGCTTAGTACGTTAGTTTTATTAAATATGTTTTATTAAATGTGACTTAGAATGTTTTCAATTTATAATGGATTTTTGGAGACATAATCCCAGCACAAGTTGAGGAGCATCTATGAAATGATTCTAGTACTTAAAGTTACTTTTTCATCTGATTTTATAATTTAAGATACGTATTACCTACTTAAATATTACTTGTTTTTCTTGAATCCCTGCTATGAAAGATGATAGCTCTTTGCTAAGAGCTAAAGAGCTATCATCTTTCATAGCAGGGAATCAAGAAAAACAAGTAATAAGTAGGGAGTTTATTACCTGTGTTATTACTCAAATCTTTTTCCATGTATGTGAATTACTTTTAAAATAAGAGGCAGAAAAAGAAAATGAAATTAACATTTACTGAGCATCATAGTATTCTTGGTACTATTCTAGGTGTTTGGAAGCAGGAATGCAAGGAAAGGGTATAAAGATAGAACTCTGGCCCTTAAAATAGCATATTTTCTAGTTGGAGAAAATACATCATGCATCTGTAATTTAAAACAGAAATAAGTGCTAGAGTTGAGCATATGCTTGAATTATAAAAGCCATTAAGCGACATTTACAATGTTGAGTATATAAATACTCTAAATATAGACCTATGTGCAAAGAAAAAAGCAACTTTCTTCTGCTAAACTGCTGTCTCCAAGAACATCGTCGAGGTGTCAAGTTCTAATGACTACTCTTTTACTTTCTTTTCCGTTGACTTTTCTGGGACCTGCTTAGCTACCACTGTTTCGCTTCTGCTTTTTTAAATTATCTCTATTCTCGTCAGGATAGCTTCTCTGTTTCATCTCTGACCTATTTCAGCCAGTAATTCTTAATTGGCTGTTTGTAATTGAAGGACTGAGTCAACAAGTTTAGGTAGCTGTCATACATTTCCTCTGCAATTTATTTTTATTTTTTTTATTTTTTGAGTTGGAGTCTCACTCTGCCGCCCAGACTGGAGTGCAGTGGCCGCTCCTGGCCACCGCAGCCTCGACCTGCTGGGCTCCGGCAGTCCTTCTGCCTCAGCCTTCCAAGTAGCCGGAATTACAGGTGCATGCTACCACGCCCAGCTAATGTTTTTATTTATTGTAGAGATGAGGTCTTGCCAAGTTGCCCAGGCGGGTCTCGAACCCACGGGCTCAGGCAATCCACTCACCTCGGCCTCCCAAAGCGCGGGATTACAGGCTGAGCCACCGAGCCCAGCCTCCTCTGCAGTTTAAAGGACTGTTTCTCTACCAGACCCTTCGCTTCACTGGGAGTTCTGACTTATGGGCTCTTAAGTAAGTGGACAGATTCTGTTGATAGACACACTTTTCTTGAGACTATATGCCTTAGGAGCAGGCTATCCTAGGTTCAAGATACTCTTTATTCAAATGGCTATTGTTGGGCACAAGAATGAACACTAGTAATTATAGTATTAGCTTTTTTTCCTGTTCTATTTAACTGTCCTATCTTGGTACCATAGTGGTTTAATTATACCCTTATAATATCTTGTGGACTAGAACCACTTCTTTATTCCTTTAAAAAATTCATAGGTGAGCCAGGCTCGGTGGCTCAGCCTGTAATCCCACACTTTGGGAGGCCAAGGTGAGTGGATTGTCTGAGCCCGCGGGTTCGAGACCCACCCGGGCAACTTGGCGGGACCTCATCTCTACAGTTAATCAAAAAAATTAGCCAGACATGGTAGTGCGAGCCTGTAGTTCCAACTACTTGGAAGGCTGAGGCGGAAGGATCGCTGGAGCCCAGCAGGTCGAGGCTGCAGTGGCCAGGAGCGTGCCACTGCCCTCCAGCCTGGGTGACAGAGTGAGACTCCAACTCAAAAAAAAAAAATTCATAGGTTTCTTACCTGTTTGTTTTTCCACATATTTTCACATGATTCAGGGTATCTTTCTAAATGAGTTTATAGGCAATGTGTCACGTAATACGTGGGGAATAACCTTTTACCGGAATGTAGTATGGAAGTTCTGTAAACAATAATGACTTCTTTACATGGAAATATTGAAACATTGTGAACTTAGAAGGAAAATATTAATTCTTATCTCTGTTTACATAACATAAAGTGGAGGTGGTTACCAGGACTAGAATATTGCTTTTAGTTGTTGGAAAATTTTTTTTTTTTTTTTGGAGTTGGAATCTCACTCCGTTGCCCAGACTGGAGTGCAGTGGAAGCTCCCGGCCACCGCAGCCTCGACCTGCTGGGCTCTGGTGATCCTTCCACCTCAGCCTTCCAAGTAGTCAGAATTATAGTCATGTACTACCACGCCCGGCTGATTTTTGAAAGACTTTGAAATGGGCAATAAGATTACTAGATGTCCTTTCAGTGGAATATTGAATGTTGTCTAGTGAACCCTTCAGTATTATCTGATTCTAGGGCTGTTTACCCTAGATTTTCTTTGATCAACCAATTTTACAACTCTGTCAGTTTTTTGTTTAAATAGAAAAATACATTAATACAACTGAGTTATATCCATAGAAAGGCAATTAAATTTGTCTGTAATTTATACAGATCTGTAATTTTTAATTTGTATTTGTCTCTGATTATACAGTTATAGTTGATTTCCACACTGTTGAAAAAATGATTCCTTTGTCCTGTATGACATTAAATACTTATTTCTATCTATTTCATCTCCTTATTCCTAATTGCATTTATATATATCTGTTCTTCAGATTGCCCTTTGATCTAGTTTTTTAACCTCTACTGATTGTCTCATTCATTAATAAAATATGTAAAGCCACTGATGACATATTTATTAAAAAGGGAATTTATAGCCAGGCACGGTGGCTCATGCCTATAATTCTAGCACTTTGGGAGGCCAAGCCAGAAGGATTGCCTGAGGCCAGGAGTCTGAGACTTTGGTAACATAGTGAGACTGCATCTCTGCAAAAATAAAATCAAAAAAATTAGTCAGGTGTGGTGGCATGTGTCTATAGTCCCAGCTGCTCTGTAGACTGGGATGGAAGGATCTCCTGAACCCAGAAGGTCAAGGCTGTGTTGAGCTTGATTGTGCCACTACACTCTAACCTGGGCGACACAGTGAGACTCTGACTTAAAAAAAAAAAAAAATTTACATAAACTTTTAAAAATAGGATGCTGGAAGTTATATTAATTTAAGAGATAGAATTATGTTGAAAGAATAACATTTAATTAAAAAATAAAAAGCTAACACTAAACTTGGTAAAATCTCTTTCAACAATGTATTGCCAGACCTTGTAAGGGAACTCACATTGTGTGAGAATCTCCTTTCTTCTTTTAGAGTGGCAGCAACTATGCTTACTTGGAGCAGCTTGAGAGCTTATCTGCTAAAGGACGCCCTATCCCTGTGCGTCTTGATGCACTGCCGCAAGTGGAATCACAGGTGGCAGCAGCACGAGCATGGAGAGAACGGACTGGGCGGACCTTTCTTAAGAAGAATTCTAGCCATACGTTGTTACAGGTACTTGAACTTCAAAACTCTCGTCAGCAGTTGATATTTAACACCAACAGATAGCAGTAGTGTTGGTGAGGATTATTTTCAGTTTATCTTGTCACCATTATACAAATGATTCCCATTAAGTAACATCAGATGTTGACCTGAAATCCAGAGCCTTTGGCGAACTCATTTCCAATTATTCTTGTGCTGTGTTCAAAAAAGCAATCAGCCTAGATTTTATCTTTATTGTTATGGACTCTCACTGAAAGATCTTATTTCTCAGAAGCACAAATGTATATACTCACTTTTCATCTTGAGCAGTAGAACATAGTAGTTAAGAGTGGAGGCTTTGGAATAAGATAATTTCAGGTTTGAGGATGGGTTCCTGAATTGCTAATTCTAGTCCTTGGTTAAGTTGTTTCCTTTCTGAGCCTCAGTTTTCCTTGTTTGTCAAATGTGGATTATACTACCTACTGCATAGGATTCTGGGGATTGACTTAGAGAATGTGTATAAAGTCCTTAAGAAAGTGCCTGAGACATGGTGAGTGGTCAGTAAGTGGTTCCTTTATTATTTTCACTTTAAGATTTTTTTGAAACCATTGTTCATACTGCTGGTTTTATTTTTGTAGGTGCTAAGTCCCCGGACTGACATTGGTATATATGGGAGTGGCAAGAACAGAAGGAAAAAAGTAAAAGAACTAATAGAAAAAGAAAAAGAAAAGGATCTAGACCTTGAGCCTCTGAGTGATCTGGAAGAAGGATTGGAGGAAACCAGAGATACAGCCATGGTGGTAAGAGATTATGTAATATATCTGGAGTTTGTTTGATGAATATGAAATTCTGTAAAGATATTAGCAGATCCACTGTTTTTATACTTTTCACTGTTTTTATTTTCTTATACCTTGTCTTTGGCTTTATGACTACCTATACTTGATGTTTTAAAAAATAGGCTGGTGCGATAGCTCACACCTGTAATCCCAGCACTTGGGGAGGTGGAAGTAAGAGGATTACTTGAGCCCAAAATTTGAGACCAGCCTGGGCAACATAGCAGTGTCTCATCTCTACAAAAATTTAAAAAAAAACTAGCTGGGTATGGTGGCACATACCTGTAGTTCCAGCTACTTGAGAGGCTGAGGTGGAAGGATCGCCTGAGCCCAAGAGGCCAAGGCTGCAGTGAGCTGTGAGTGTGTCCAGCACAGGTGACAGAGTGAGACCTTGAGTTTAAAAAAAAAAAAATATATATATATAATATATATATAAAATATAGTAAATATATATAACACATTTATAATGTAAGTATACAAAAAATTTACTATTCTCTTTTTCCCAAACTTATCTTTTCTATACCTCTTTTTTAATTGTAGTTTTAATAGTTGTGTACTGTTCTATCAAGTTGCTTTCCATAGTTTGCTGTGTACAGTAAGTACTCAATGTCATCTATAGACTCTTGGAAACTGCAACTTTAAATGAAACAATATATAATGGTACCAGTTTTACCATAGATTGATGTAAATAAGAGTTAAGTTCCTACGACATATTTGTGGTCACAAAAAACATCATTAGACATCTAAATAAAGACCCAAAACACTTGTAATAGTAAACATTGAAATAAGTGTGGACTACACATACATTTAAGAAAGAATAATAAAAACAAAATAATTATTTATCCAATTTTTGGTGAATTAGTGAGTGACAATGTCCCTGGCCAGGAATCAGTTTTTTTCCCTCACTAATATTATACTGAAACTGCATTGAACAAAATGATGCTATTTGAGGACCTGCTGTATTTTCTAATGTTGAGCATTTTGCTTGTTACTAAGTTTCCTATTATAAGCAGTAAAGTGAACTTCTGTGTAGCCTTTTCCTTCTTGTAAATTGTTTTCCTAGACTTGATTCTCAGGAATAGAATTACTCGGTTAGAATTTTATAGCATTTTTGTGACTCTCAATACTATTGTGCTTTTCAAAAGAATTATACCAGCTTAGTATAGCAGCTGTTTTAAAAAATATTTTCTTTCTCTTAGCATTCAACAGTATAATGAATGCTAAGTAAAATATGTATAGTTGATGAGAATTATGCTTTTTTGGGAGGATACGAGAAATATGTTAAGATTACTAGGAGCCCAAGGAGTTAGAAAAAGAAAGCGACTTTGGGCAATACATAATAGTAGGGAATTGCATACACTAAGTAACTTGATATAACTCTTTCTGCCTACAAATGATCCTGCTGTGAGGCCAGTGAAAGTGATCTCTCATTAGAGAGCCTACCTAAGAAATCAATCTTGCCAAACAGGTAGGACTGGAAATTATTTTAAAATTGTTTCAAAGCTACCCATAGTTAAAAAAGAAAATGCACTTACAGTATTGATGGTAATTAAATTTTGTTTGCTTTCATTTACTTTTTTGAAATGAGTTTCATAAAATGCTGTTGTTATAACTGATCACCAGGCTTTGTTATTCCACTTCCACATGAATTGGAGAGGCTTTCTGGGAGGAAAAAAAGTCGATTTTTTAGGCGTTTTCCCCGGGGGATGAATTATGGTGGGGCGGGGAGGAGGACTAATACTTATTGACTGTTTACTTTATGCAAGGTACCAGGCTAGGCACTTCATGTTATCTTGGTTAATCCTTAAAACAACAAAATAATGATAGTGGTATCCTCATTTTTCAGAAAACTGAGGTTCAGAAAGCTTGTGCCTCATATGAACAGGCTGTAAGTACAAGAGCCAGGCTTTGTACACAACCAAGATGCTTGATTTCAAGGCATACCGTCTTTCTACTACACCCTGAGGAAGAGTTCCAAGTATTCTACTGATATAAATAATCAGATATGATATGGCACTTTGCCCATTTCACAGATGAGGAATGTGTGCATGGAAACTGTCAGGGTACTCCAAATTTTAGAAATTTGTTTACAAGTGATAACTTGGAGAAAGATCCCACACCCATGAGGATTGGTATTTTCGGGGTATATTGCAGTGACTCCTTTCAGTTAAATGTTTGTCATATACAGGTGGCAGTTTTCAAAGAACGAGAGCAAAAAGAGATTGAAGCCATGCATTCCCTCAGAGCAGCCAACCTAGCCAAGATGACAGTGGTGGACCGCATAGAAGAAGTAAAATTTTGCATTTGTCGCAAGACAGCCAGTGGGTTTATGCTGCAGTGTGAACTCTGCAAAGACTGGTTTCATAACAGCTGTGTTCCTCTTCCTAAATCAAGTTCCCAGAAAAAAGGATCCAGCTGGCAGGCTAAAGAAGTAAAATTTCTCTGCCCTCTGTGTATGCGGTCTCGAAGGCCCAGGCTAGAGACTATTCTTTCACTCCTGGTATCCCTTCAGAAGTTGCCTGTCCGGTTGCCTGAAGGAGAGGCCCTACAGTGTTTGACAGAACGTGCCATGAGTTGGCAAGATAGAGCACGACAGGCCCTAGCCACAGATGAACTGTCCTCTGCCCTGGCCAAACTGTCTGTGTTGAGCCAGCGTATGGTAGAACAGGCAGCTCGAGAAAAAACTGAAAAGATCATCAGTGCAGAACTTCAAAAAGCAGCTGCCAATCCAGACTTACAGGCAAGTTTAGGATTTGCATTCTTTTTCTATTTCATGGGGTAATATTTGTCAGTGTGTGAATTGTAAATCTGTCTTAACAGTTTATTAGGAAAACAACAGTAACTTGCCCACAATTATATCTCCTTCTACGTACGTACAGAGTATTTTCTTTGAATACATATCTAGTTGACTATTACTTGGAAATGCCATTCCGGTAGATGTTGGCATCATAATCACACCCTTAGATTTCTACCAGCTGTTAAAGAACTCTGTTAACCACTTGCTTGTGCATTCTGTTTAGGTGATCTTAAAGCACATGTTAATTACCTGTGTTTGTTTGTGTCTCTTTGTTCATCTTGGAATTATTTGCTGTTTAGGGACACTTACCTAGTTTCCAGCAATCTGCTTTTAACCGGGTAGTGAGCAGCGTGTCATCTTCACCTCGACAGACAATGGACTATGATGATGAGGAAACAGATTCTGATGAAGACATTCGGGAGACATATGGCTATGACATGAAGGTAATTACGTGGACAGACTGTGTAGGTACATACCAGGTCATTTGGTTTGTTACAAAAACTATTAGATGCTGGTGTTTGAGGTCTGAAAGTAGAAGAGAAGACTTGTTCTGATCTGAGTTTATGGTGATAGCATTTTTTCAAAACTCAAAAAGATAGAGATTGCTGCAATAGCAATTTTTTTAAAGAACAGAATTTTTAAAAAATATGGTTTTTCCTCATAACTCATGGCTTAGAGGAACTAGAAAAACTATGCTTTAAGGTATTTAAAGGTTTTGTGGCTGATTTCAGTTCTTCAGTCTGTACAGTTAAGTTTTAAGAATTCCATTCTTGCTGTGCTGTGACTCTTTTGCTCTGCTCTCTCATCTCAACAGTACTAGATAGAATGTCACTTTCAGATATGAATAATAACTTGGGCCCAAGGTTAGAATTTTCTGAGTTCTAGTTGCAGGTAGAACAAATTATTTACCATCAATAGAATTATTTTGGTAGTGACACCATGCTGATGGTGATGAGAGGGTTTTGGCAAGTTTGTTTAGTGTTGAATTCAGTTGGTATTTCATTGTCATTTTGTGTCTGGTGCATATGCATTTCCTCTGCTTTTTACTTAGTAATAAACATCATAATCTAGGCAGAGACTTTGCCAGATTACAGTTAGTCTGTTAATTCATTTTATATAATTCTTAGTTGCTCTGTTTAGAATCTATGCCTTTGACCAGGGAGTTTACACTCTGGTATAAGAGACTGCCTCCAAAGAATGACAGAGGTTTCTGTCCCTTTGTCTTTTCAGCATGCAGATCAGGTAGGTACTGCTCATTTGTAGAGCATAAATCTCATCAGCATTAAAACTCCTAGGATATAAAATTAAAAAACCATTCATCATTGATGCTTGTACATTTATCTTTAGAAAATATTTTTTTCAAGATAAAAATGAATCCAGGGATGTTTTAAGAGGGAATTTTCAGATATATGACTTAAAGACTTGAGAAAAGTTGAATTAGCCTGTTCACATAAGGTTTTTAAGTACCTTGTTACCTAAGAGTTAATGACCATTTTTGTTTACTGGTTATATAGGATGACCAGGAGCAGCTGAAAGGGAATGCAGTCCATGCCAAGCATAAGCTAGTTAGCATTTTTCTTGAGTGCTAGAATCACCCATTTGCCCTAGCATAGAGATCTTCAGTACTGTTTTAAGTATCAGCCACTACTCTAGAATTGTTTAACATGGTAGGCTTTGTTTGGAAGCAGATTGGTAACCTGTGAAAATAAAACATCCCAAGTATTGCATAGCTTTCAGGGATAGGGATCAAAGCTGTGGTTTGATATGTTTGTATGGAGCAGTCTTTTTTTGCAGAATTTTTTTGGGAGTCTTAGCTTACAGTCTCTTTTTTGGCAGTGGGTATTGGCAGAGTAGAAAAACAAAATTACAGATTTTCTAGTGTTAATGTGTTTGACATCTGAGAAGAGTAGAATGGTGGTAAGACTTATGGTAATTCAAAGCCAAATTTACTTTGATGTTGGTGTATTTTCTTGTTTTGCCCCAAAACGTTTGTCTTTTATTTGAGTGACTTTAATGTTTCTATCTTTTAAAAAAAGTTCAATAACTTCAGGGGGGTGTAAATGATTTTTGGTTACACGGATGCATTGTATGGTGGCAAAGAAGTCTGGGCTTTAAGTGTGCTTTCCATCCCTACCTTTGCACATTATACTCAATAGGTGATTTTTTTCGTCCCTTGCCACCCTTCCTCTTCTGTCTTCAGTGTCCATTATGCCATTCTGTGTGCCTTTGCACTTACTTCGGTTAGCCTCCACTTATAAGTTGAGGACATGGCTTTCTGTTCCCCGTGTTACTTCACTTAGGATGATAGTGTCCAGGTCCATCCAAGTTACTGCAAAAGACATTTCATTTCTTTTTTTTTATGGGTGAATAGTATGCCATTGTATATATACAACATTTTCATTATCTGCTGATCAGTTGGTGGGATTTTAGTTTGAGTCTACATCTTTGTAATTGTGAATTCTGCAGTAAACATGTAAGTGCAGGAATCTTTTTTTGTATAACCTCTGTTCTTTTGGTAGATACCAAGTAGTGGCATTGCTGGATCAAATAGTAGATCTACTTTTAGTTCTTTGGGAAACCTCCATACCAATGTTCATACATTCCCACCAACAGTGTGTAAGTGTTTCCTTTTTTTGTTTGTTTTTGAGTCAGAGTCTCACTGTCACCTAGGCTGGAGTGCAATGGCACGCTCACAGCCACAGCCTCAACCTGCTAGATTCAGGAAATCCTTTCTTTTTTTTTTTTTTTGAGTTGGAGTCTCACTCTGTCGCCCTGACTGGAGTGCAGTGGCCGCTCCCGGCCACTGCAGCCTCGACCTGCTGGGCTCCAGTGATCCTTCTGCCTTAGCCTTCCAAGTAGCTGGAACTACAGGCACGCGCTACCATGCCCGGCTAATTTTTTTATTTATTGTAGAGATGAGGACTCACTAAGTTGCCCAGGCGGGTCTCGAACCCGCGGACAATCCACTCACCTCGGCCTCCCAAAGCGCAGGATTACAGGCTGAGCCACGGAGCCTTACCATCAGGGAATCCTTTCACCTCAGCCTTCCAAGTAGCTGAAACCATAGGCACGTGCCACCATGCCCAGCTAATTTTTTGATTTATTGTAGAGATGTGATTGCCCCAAGTTTCCCTGGCTGATCTCAAACTCCTTGGGTTCAGCCAGTACTCTCACCTCTGCCTCCCAAAGTGCTGAGATTATAGACATGAACCACCACACCCAGCCTAAGTATGTTCCCTTTTCACTGCATTTGTGCCAATGATGTTGGAATCTTTGGATGAAAAATACTCTTGAGCATTTTCCATAGAGCAAACAATTATTGCGTAATGAAAACTTTATTTGCCAGTTTATTTGCATTTGGCTTGATGACTTTTCTCTTTGTATGATGTCCTCTGTTGTGACCATGAATTCATACTTAAAATACTGTGGATTTTTGTTTGTTTGTTTTGAGTTGAAGTCTTACTTTGTCACCTAGGCTGGAGTGCGGAGTGCAGTGGCACGCTCATGGCCACTGTAGCCTCGACCTACTGGGCTCAGGTGATCCTTCAACCTCAGCCTTCCAAGTAGTTGGAACTGTAGGTATGCGCCACCACATCTGACTAATTTTTTAAAAATTACTTATTGTAGAGATGAGATCTTGCCAAGTTGCCCAGGCTGGTCTCAAACCCTTGGGCTCAGGCAATCCTCTCACCTCAACCTCCCAAAGTGCTGAGGTCATAGGCATGAGCCACCATACCCGGCCTTAAAAGACTTTGATATTTTTGCTTGAGGAAGAGCTCCCTACTGGTTTAGGAGGAAGAGTAGGTAATTACATAGTAAAATAAAGTCAGTCATTTGATCTTAGTTATTATAACATTTAAATATTAAAATAGATTATACTTATTATTTATTTTGCATATAATATCCTGTGATAACCACTTAAATTCTCTGAGCAACATCCAGAAAATAATGCCCTAGGAAATGTGGGATTCTTTTGTTTTTTTTTTGAGTTGGAGTCTCACTCTGTCACCCAGGCTGGAGTACAGTGACACACTTTACAGCCACCCCAGTGTTGACCTGCTGGGCTCAGGGATCCTTCTGCCTCAGCCTTCCAAGTAATCAGAACTACAGGCGTGTGCTGCCACTCCTGGCTAATTTTTTTATTTATTGTAGAGATGAGGCCTCAACAAGTTGCCCAGCCCGTTCTTGGACCCGTGGGCTCAGGCAATCCTCTCGCCTTGGCCTCCCAAAGTGCTGGGACCACAGGCTTCAGCCTCCAACTAAAAAAAAAAAAAGAAAAAGAAAAAGAGACAAGGTCTTGTTCTGTCACCCAGGCTGGAGTGCAGTGGTATAGTCATAGCCCTTGCAGCCTCATACTCCTGGCCTCAGGTGATTCTCCCACCTCAAACTCTTGAGTAGCTGAGATCACAGGCACACGCCTCCACACCCAGCTAAATTTTTTTTTTTTTTTAATTTTTTAATTTTTAAAATTTTTAAAAATTTTTTTTTGTCGCCCAGACTGGAGTGCAGTGGTTGCTCCTGGCCACTGAAGCCTCGACCTGCTGGGCTCCGGTGATCCTTCTGCCTCAGCCTTCCAAGTAGCTGGAACTATAGGCACACACTACCTCGCCCGGCTAATTTTTTTTTATTTATTGTAGAGATGAGGTCTTGCCAAGTTGCCCAGGCGGGTCTCGAACCCGCGGGCTCAGGCAGTCCACTCACCTCAGCCTCCCAAAGGCGCAGGATTACAGGCTGAGCCACCGAGCCCGGCTATTTTTATTTTTAACAGAGACAGTGTCTTGCTGTCTTGTCCAGACTGGTCTGGAACTCTGGGCTTCAAGTGATCCTTCCTCCTTGGCCTCCCAAAGTGCTGGGATTACAGGCGTGAGCCACTGCATCTGGCCATATCAATGTGTCTTTAACTTACCAGAGTCAATATTATACCTCTTAAAACTTTATACTTCACACTAGTTAAGTAATAATTATTTTCTGACCACTGTCCTTCCCATTTTGAAAGCTTAACGGAATGAGTTAACAATACAATATAATGGTAAGAGTCAAAATCAGAAGAGACAATTCCAGGCAGATGCAGCATCTGGGAACTGAAGTGGTCGGTTTGTACTCTTATGTCTTTTTACCTCTTAGGACTTAAGTTTTTGTATAGGGAATAAGACTGTGGACTGTTATTACTAAATTCTTAGTGGCGTTGTCTTCCAGAACCTCTTATAAAGCGTTCTCTCCCAAGTTGTCCTTTCCATAGCCAGATATTACTTTGAAATGTCTGGATTTTTGGAAAGTATCCTGTGTCATTAAGGATAGTCTCATGATGACAGTAGGTCGTCTTCTCATGCACCCTACAAGAGAATCGGGTGTTGGGTTAGTCCGTAAGCTATTGTCTCTCATCTTCCTAACTCACTTGTTTATACTCTGCTTTGTGATGCTGAGGCTGGGTTTCATACCAACAGTTGCCAAACTTTTTCTGTAAAGGACCAAATAATAAACATCATTGCATATTCTTCTTTCCTTTCTGTATTTTTTTACAACTCTTTAAAAATGTGAAAACTATCCTTAACTCACAGTCCATACAGCAGGCTGCCAGCTGGATTTGGCCCACAGGCTTTAGTTTGCCAACTCCTGCTCTATTCATTTGTCTTTTGCCCGATGCCTCTCTTCTGCCGACAGAGGACTTAGAAAAAATTAAAAGGCTTGTACAGTGAGAAGGGACTTGATATTTCCTCTGTTTATTCTCTGTTATAATCATATGAACTGCATGCCTTTCTTTTTAATCCTGGCAGAGGCAGCTGGTTGCAATTTCCAGTTGTTGTCCTCCCCACCTCCCCAGCACCCCCACACTCCTGAAACCAGCCATGTCGTGTTCCGTCAGAGACAGCAGGACTCAACGGGGCAGTGCTTCCTCCTTAGAGTTGTGTGTCCCAACTATGCAGGACCCCTTCTCTAAGCGTTTAGGTTCTAAGAAGTCCACCTCTTTCCTTTGTCTCCTCAAGCCCTGGGGTTGGTAACTCTTCTGAAATCATTGTTTTGGGGAGTTACCTATGCTTCCCTTTTGCCCTTTCAGTCCTTTAATGCACATTGAGCTAGTTCCCTATGTTAAATTTTCGCTATTGAAATACCTGGTGTGGTTTCTAACTTTCTGATCGTATTTGGTCTGTAAAGGTGTGTAGGTGAGCTTATGAAAACTAATTTCAAAGGGGAATCATCTGAGACTTAATTAGAGCTCACTTCATGTTCTAATGGCTTTAAGTGAAACAGTGTATAATAAAACCGATTTTTTTCCCTCATCGTTACAACAAATTAAAACTACATTTTTCAAGGATCTGCCGATGTATACTGTTTCACTTAAATTTGCAGTTTGTGAGAACCTATTCATGATATTCTGTGAGGATTTACTACAATTTGTATATTGTCACTCAGGCTCTTCATTATATTAAGAGCAAATGGTAAGATTCTAGGTTTAAAAACCTTTAGAGGCTCAAGCAGTGCTGTAATCCCAGCTCTTTGGGAGGCCGAGACAATAGGATTGCTTGGTTCGAGATCAACCTGGGCAACTTGGTGGCATCGTGTCTCTACAATAAATCAAAATATTACTTGGGCATGATGGTGTGCATCTGTAGTTCCAGCTACTTGGAAGGCTGAGCTGGAAGAATCATCTGAGACCAGCAGGTCGAGGCTGCAGTGGTCATGAATGTGCCACTGCACTCCAGCCTACGCAACAGATGAGACTCCGACTCGGGGGGAAAAAAAAAAACCTTAAGAGAGAATTAAATGTTTTGTATCCTTAAGATGTCACATCTAAACCTTTCCAAACCTTTCTTCCCCTTGTAAACCCTTTTATTTATTTATTTGTTTGAAGGGTCAATTTCCTTAACTTGTTGGTATAGGGATTTTTATGGGTTGTAAACTGTAGATTATAAAAGATAGATTACTTAATAGTAGTATTTTTGTAGGTTTATTATCTCTGTGGATTGTTTTTGAGCATTGCTTTTTCTTTTTGCTTAAAACTGTACTCATTACATTTTTTCTCCCCAGTAAACATTTTCCTTTTTTTTTTTGAGTTGGAGTCTCACTGTCACCCAGACTGGAGTCCAGTGGCCGCTTACTACAATATACAAATTGTAGTAAACCCTCACTGCTGGGCTCCGGCAATCCTTCCACCTCAGCCTTCCAAGTAGCAGGAACTACAGGAGTGCGTTACCACGCCTGGCTAGTTTTTTGATTTATTGTAGAGATGAGGTCTCGCCAAGTTACCCGCGGGCTCAGGCAATCCACTCACCTCAGCCTCCCCAAGCGCTGGGATTACAGGCTGAGCCACCAAGCCTGGCCCAGTAAACATTTTCTGTCTTTTAAAATATCATATATTTTCTTTTAATGTCATATTTTTAGTATGTTAGAAGCTTTAGCCTGAAAGACTTCATTTTGAGCCTGTCAGGATAAGTTAAATGACTAATTCTGAATATACCTCTTTGTTTCATCAGGACACAGCCAGTGTGAAGTCTTCTAGTAGTCTTGAACCTAATCTTTTTTGTGATGAAGAGATTCCCATCAAGTCTGAGGAGGTTGTGACTCACATGTGGACAGCACCTTCATTCTGTGCAGAGCATGCTTATTCTTCTGCTTCTAAGAGTTGTTCTCAAGGTATTACCCCTTTTAAAAATGTGGGGAAGATATGCCTAGAACCAGTGGAGAAAGACATTAATCACGACTGTGAGTCCCTTTTGAGTTGATTACAATGCCTGACCACAAAGTGATAATGGAACCTGAAAAGCCAATTCCTATTTGCATTTTGTATCATCATAACCTGAAAACTTAGATAGAACTATAGAGTCCTAATTAGAAGAACATTAGATGCCATCTAGTCCTGTGTCTCAGTTCTATAAAATCCCTAATAGGTAATCATTTACCCTCTATTTGATCATTACCAGTTGTTGAGGAACTCGTGGCTTTTTAAAAATATTCATTCTGGTTTGGAGTAACTTTAGTTGTTAGAAAGTTCTTCCTTTCCCTGGAGCTTGATTTCTCTATGATATTCACTTTTCTCCAGCAAAAATAAGTCACACTACTTTACGTTACAGATCTGGAAGATGGGGGGTTGTTTATCTCTTTATGATAAAATTCAGGATTTGGTGGAACAGCTTAGTGTTGTCTGTTCATTAGGAAGATAACCAGTTATTTTATAGGCCAGCAAAATGCTTAATCTTTTGTTGTACTCTAAACTGGAGAGAATATGGATTAAGAGACTTGGTTCCCCACCCCTCTAAGATAGAGAATAGGGACAAACAGTCAGGATAAAGAACCAATTTTTAACCATAAACTAGTTCTTTAGAGTGGAACTTAGAATTGCAGATCTTTTTGTTCCGTATTTGGTGGTTCTTTGTTTTGTTTTGCTTTTTGAGGAAGGGTCTCACTCTGCTGTCCAGTCTGGAGTACACTGGCACAGTCAGGACTCACCACAGTCTCAACCTTCTGGGCTTAAATGATCCTTCCACCTCAGCCTCCTTAACTGGAACTGTAGGTGCTACCACCATGCCCAGCTAATTTTTCATTTTTGTAGGGATGAGGTCTCACTGTGTTGCACAGGCTGGTCTCAAACTCCTGGGCTCAAGCAGTCCTCCCACCTTAGCCTCCCAGAGTACTGAGATTATAGGTGTGAGCCACGATGCCCATCTGCATTTGTTTTTTTTGGGTTTTTTTTTTGAGTTGTAGTCTCACTCTGTCGCCCAGACGGGAGTACAGTGGCCGCTCCCAGCCACCGCAGCCTCGACCTGCTGGTCTCTGGCGATCCTTCCGCCTCGGCCTTCCAAGTAGCCGGAATTACAGGCATGCACTACCACGGCCCGGCTGATTTTGTGATTTTATTGTTGAGATGAGGTCTCGCTGCCCAGGCGGGTCTCAAACCCGCAGGCTCAGGCAATCCACTCACCTCAGCCTCCCAAAGGCGCGGGATTACAGGCTGAGTCACCAAGCCCGGCTTGCATTTGTTTTTAATCTCATTTACATTTTCATACTAATGTAACGAATCTAGGTATCTAAAGTCAATACTGGGGAAGAGGGGAGGGAACTATTCTCTTAAATATTTACTTTGAAAACATTACTTTTTTTTTTTTTTTTTGCTTTGTCTTAATGGTATTTTTGGGAGAAAGGTTCTAGCACCCCAAGGAAACAACCTCGCAAGAGCCCTTTGGTGCCTCGAAGTTTGGAACCTCCAGTGTTAGAGTTGTCACCTGGAGCTAAGGCTCAGCTGGAAGAACTTATGATGGTTGGAGATCTCCTAGAAGTATCTCTGGATGAAACTCAACACATATGGCGGATTTTGCAGGCCACACACCCACCCTCTGAAGATAGATTCCTGCATATCATGGAGGTATGGATGTAAAGACAGTGACTTTTTTTTTTTTTTTTTTTTGAGTTGGATTATCACTCTGTTCCCTAGACTGGATTGCAGTGGCATGTTTGTGGCTACCACAGCCTCGACCTGCTGGGCTCAGGCAATCCTTCCACCTCAACCTTCCAAGTAGCTGGGAATACATGTGTGCACCACCCTGCCTGGCTAATTTTTTGATTTATTGTAGAAATGAGGTCTTACCAAGTTGCCCAGGCTGGCCTTAAACTCGTTGGTTCAGGAAAATCCTCTCACCCTCAGCCTCCAAAAATGCTGGGATTATAGGCATGAGCCACCGTGTCTGGCAAAACAGTTGTTTTAAAACTAGAATGCCTGGATTCCTTAGAGATATTATAAATGTTGGCAATGGATGGCTGAATGACAGTAATCTGGCTGTTGTACTTTCCCATTTAAACCAAAGGAATTCTGCTTTATAGTTTTTTTTTATTGAGCTTTTATATTTAAGTAGAAAAAAGGACCATTTCTGCTTTAAAATAAGCAAACAAACAAACAAAAAAAACAAAACAGGAAGGTGCATGATAGAAAACCATTGATTTGGCCGGGCTCAGTGGCTCATCCTGTAATACCAGCACTTTGGGAGGCTGAGATAAGCGGATTGCCTGAGCCCACAGGTTCGAGACCCGCCTGGGCAACTTGGCAAGACCTCATCTCTGTAATAAATCAAAAAGTAGCCGGGTGTGGTAGCGCACACCTGTAGTTCCAGCTACTTGGAAGGCTAAGGTGGAAGGATCGCCAGAGCCCAGCAGGTCAAGGTTGCAGTGGCCGGGAGCCGTCACTGCACTCCAGTCTGGGTGACAGAGTGAAACTCCAACTCAAAAAAAAAAAGAAAACTATTGATTTATAACAGCCTCTTTAACCCAGACTCCCATTATTTGAAGGCCCAAAGTTAAGAGGGGAAATATAGTGGTTAAAAAAAGGAGCACAGAGATTTTAAACAAACGTAGATTGGGTGGGAGAGTCTACATTTAATTACCACATGTGCATAGCCATTTGTACTTCATAACAGGTTTTTATATCTGTAATCTCATTTGATCCTCACCACAATCCTGAAGGCATGGCTAGGGGAGGGATATACAGGGCAAGTATTTGCCCCATTCTGGATACAATCTTATGTTTTCCCTACATTTTTGATAACTTTGTAGCTACCAATGATTTTATTAATTGAATTAATAAAGAACTTTAGCAGTAATAAATGAAGATCCAAATAGTTATTACATAATTTAGTATAGTTAGCTTTCTGTGTATGTTTTATCTCTAACAGAGATGCTGCAGACTGCATTAATATATGCTAACACTAGAGGGTTTTTTTTTAGTTCTTTCTCCCTTAGTAAGTTAAAGATAAGTGCAATATTTTATTTTAGGCTTGTCATCATTTTCTACTGTTGATCTTCATTGAGTATTATACTTGCCTTCTTAAAATGTCTTTTAAGTATCTTTAGAGTAACACCATTTTAAAGTCTTTTTTGACGGCATAATATATGTAACACAATTTACCATTTTAACCCTTTTTAGGTGGGCAGTTCAGTTGCATTAAATACATTTACAGTGTTATGCAACTGTCACCATTATTCATTTACAGAACTTTTTAGTCATCCCAAACAGAAACTCTCTACCCACTAAACAGTAAGTCTCCATTTCCCACCCCATCTCCAACCCTGGCTCTGGTAACCTCGGTTCTACATTGTCTTTATGAACTTGTCTATTCTTTTCTAGATACCTCTCATATAAGAGAATAATACTGTTTTTATATGTCTTTAAAATTGTTCCTAATTCTATATTTTTGAAGGATGACAGCTTGGAAGAGAAACCACTAAAAGTGAAAGGAAAGGACTCTTCAGAAAAAAAACGGAAACGGAAACTAGAAAAGGTAGAACAGCTTTTTGGAGAAGGAAAACAGAAGTCCAAGGAGTTAAAGAAAATGGACAAACCTAAAAAGAAGAAATTAAAGTTAAATGCAGACAAGTCAAAGGAGCTGAACAAACTGGCCAAGAAACTAGCAAAAGAAGAAGAGAGAAAGAAAAAGAAGGAGAAGGCTGCTGCAGCCAAGGTTGAACTTGTGAAAGAGAATACTGAGAGGAAAAGAGAGAAAAAAGTTCTGGATATCCCCTCAAAGTATGACTGGTCAGGAGCAGAGGACTCTGATGATGAGAATGCTGTGTGTGCAGCACAGAACTGCCAGAGGCCCTGCAAGGACAAGGTGAGTTCCAGCTGTTTATACTAAAGTGAAGCACAGAAAGGAGTAACAGTCGTGGAGACATGTGTTTGACATGATGATAGTATGCTTTTGCTTCCAGAATTTGCTTTTTAAGAATAGTCATTCTGGTTTGGGGTAACTTTAATTGTTAGAAAGTTGTAAAAATTGTTAGAAAATTCCCTGGCTCCCATACCAGGTCCTCAGTTACTCCACCAGTAACTGAGATGTAAGTGCAAAAACACATCCAAAACTAAGTGACACTTATATTTAAATTAGACATGTTAGGGGTGTCCCTTTCATTTTTGGAAAATGAATACTGTGTATAGTAACATATATTCCATAGTCTAATATTCCAAGGATAACAGCTGTAAATATTTTAGTGTATTTCCTTTTCATTCTTTTTCTGTATGGTTTGTTTTACTGCTGGTTTTGGACTTCCAGCATAATACACAGTTTCTATAAACTGCTTCAAATAATGAGGCTTCAAATAATTAGGTCAGTGTGCTTAATAGAAGACATGCTATATTTTACAAATCATTTACTTAGTGAACATAATGGAACAGGAACAGAGAGAAGCTGTGTGACAGTCCCTGGCAAACAGTGCAGTGGGCACAACAAGTTTCAAAATAGTTTTGTGACTTCCCTATAGGGTGAACTAAAGACCTTGTCAGAGAACTAAAGACCTTGTCAGATAGCCACAATAGCCTAAAAAAATGCTGGGCCAGTATTTTAACTTATTTGCAACCACTGACGTTAATTGATGTCATTCCAAATTCTGTTCCTGGTTGCTATTGATGTGAACTTACCTTGTGGAAGACTTTCTTTTCCGGTTTATAATCCGAATAAAATACAAAGTATGGAATGTTAGTCAGAGTGGTGTCTGAAGCAAATACTGGAAACCGTCTGCAACTTTCAGCTGTATTATGAAAAATATGACAGTTTAGAAAAGACCTTTTCACTTGTGCTTAACCACAGAAGTTTGTAGCAACCAGCTCCAGAGTTTTTTATTTTCATCTGTCTCAGTATTAGGAAAGCAAAAAATTTGTCAATCATAAATGTGTTAAGAACTGTGACAGATTGCATTAAGAGTATTCCAAAGACCTGAAACTTTTGGTCCCATCTTACCCACACGCAGGCCTAATGCACTCTGTTAAATGGAATATGATTTTCTTAGATCCTTTGTGCCAATTCAAACCTTCATAGGTATTATTTTTAAATCTTCAACACTAAAATTTCAGTGTTCCTGTGATTGCCATTCTTTAGATACAATACTGACGATATGAACTTCTGAGAGCAGTGGACAGACTGAAAAATTCCAGTTCTTTAAATGGTTGGAGGCTTCTAATTACGGTTCCTATCAAGAATATTGATATTTATAGTTTTAATTTTATTTGTCGTGCTCATTATACCACTTGATATCTAGAATTCTGATAGCACCTCAATTTGAAAATATGAACAGAATAAATAAAACTTCATCACAATTCTCTGTAGGTTATGTCTTCACTTACCTCCTCAATGAAATACTTAACACAGTTTTAGAGCTTGAAGGGACCAAGAAGTCACCTTGTTCAGGCTCCTCAATTTACAAATGATAAAACCAGGACTCAGTGGAGGTCAGTGATGTCACAGAGCTAATTAGTGGCAAAATCAAAAGAACTGTGGTTCCCTGGCTCCCACACTAGGTCCTCCTCTTCACTAATAGTCCTACCCCAGCAGTAACTGAGATGTAAGTGCAAAAACATCCAAAACTAAGTGACACTTATATTTAAATTAGACATGTTAGGGGTATCCCATTCATTTCTGGAAAATGAGTACTGCATATATTAACATATATATTCCATAGTCTAATCTTCCAAGGATAACAGCTGTAGATATTTTAATGTGTTTCCTTCCCATCTTTTTTCTATATAGTTTGCTTTATATCATCGTTACACTGTTTATTCACTTTTGTGTCTTGCTTTATTCATTTCACATGCATTTTCCTATATTATAAACATTTGAACGCATTTTAGTAGAGATATATATATGATTTTTATTTTTCATTTTGCATTTATTCCCATCTGAATTTGTTTATTAAAGAGACTGATGAAGGGTTGACTGTTTCCCTTTGAGTACCAAAGTATTAGCAGCTCAGTGTTAGCAGACCCTTCTTCCTTTTATGGCAGTTTTAAGATACAATATCTCTTTTTAAAAGTTTCCTATCATCCTTCCTGTAATGTTTATATCTATCATGAACCTTTTATCTTCTTTTTTCTTCTTATCACTCTGTCTTTCTTTGCTCTTCTGCTCAGAATTTAAATATGCTTCAGTTCATCTTCCTGTAGCATATAAATACTACAGGCCATTTAAAAAAATTTTGCTATAACATTATTCAGTTAACATGTGGCTGCCTACTTGAAGTGTTATGAGGATAAGCACTTATTAACTGAAAATGCAATATAAGTGTTAAGATATGGTTGTTATTTATGTATTTATTTAGAGTTGGAGTCGCTCATGGCTACCACAGCCTCAACCTGCTGGTCTCAGGTGATCCTTCAACCTCAGCCTTTCAGGTAGCTTGGAGCTACAGGCACACACCACCACGCGCAGCTAATTTTTTAATTTGTTGTAGTGATGAGGTCTCACCAAGTTGCCCAGGCTGGTTTCTAACCCATGGGCTCAGGCACTCTTCTCACCTTGGCCTCCCAAAGTGCTGGGATTATAGGCATGAGCCACTGTGCCTGGCCATGGTCATTATTTTTAAATGAACCCTGAGATTTGCTCTTAACAGTATAGGTCAGGTGTTTTTTAATCTAGAGTTGTCATCTACATTTTGATGAAACAACAGGGGATTTGGCTAAGTGCTCAGACAAAATGTCTATTTTAAACTGTAAAAATGCATTAAGGTGAACAGTGTGCTCCTTACCCTATCAGTTTACATGAAATAAGCTTAGTCTTACATTTGTGTAATGTGTTCAGTATTGGCAGAAATTCTGTCAGACTATAAACATTTTGCCTGTTGTTGCTATTTTGCAATTTTTATGGTTCTCCATGTCCACTGCTGATACTCGTTTTACTAAATAAAAGGTATATTTCTATAAAAGCTTTTGCAAAGAATGTTACAACCTTCTCAGTTATTAATGTTTCTCTAAGAAAGTCTAATTAATGCATGGCACACATCTTTAGAACAAAATGATAATAAAAAATTAATGCTTTTGCTGGATGTAGTAACTCAAGCCTGTAGTCCCAGCTACTCAGGAAGTTGAGGCAGGAGGATTGTTTGAGCCCTGGAGCTCGACACTGTGGTACACTGTGATTGCAACTGTGAATACCACTGCACTCCAACCTGGGCAACACGGGGAAACCCTATCTCAAAAATACTTTTAAAAGAAAAGTATGCTTTTTAGGGGAATCTATTCTTTAAAATACCATGCAACTGGCTGGGTGTGGTGGCTCAAGCTTGTAAATCCCAGCACTTTGGGAGGCCAGGCGAGAGGATTGCCTGAGCCCGCGGGTTTGAGACCAGCCTGGGTAACATGGTGAGACCTTGTCTCTGCAATAAATAAATAAATAAATAAATAAATTCGCCAGGTGTGGTAGCACGCACCTGTGAGGTGGAAGGATTTTCAGAGTCCAGCAGGTTGATGTTGAGGTGGCCATGAGCGTGCCACTGCACTCCAGCCTGGGTGACGGAGTGAAACTCCAACTCAAAAAATAAAATAAAATAAAATACCATGCAGCAAAAGATAACTTTTAGGGCTCATTTGTTTTAAATAAGTTCTCTAACCAATGGATACTGTTACTTTTCCCCAAAAATGTACAAATTGAAAAATATTCTTTTAAAAATTAGAAGAAAGATTATTTAAATGTGCCTAACCTCAATTTCAAGAAATTGTTTTAGAAAAAGACAATACCAGAATAATGGAAAAAGTTTTTTAAAAACTACCTTTTCTATCAATTATTAAATTCAAGCTAAAATTAATATTAAAAATAATGAAGTACTATTTTTAAAAAATAGTTTTCAAGTTCAGAATCTTTGTCTCTCTGAATTCTGTTCCTTTATCCAATCTTATTGGTACTAGGGCTAGAACTAATCTCTGAAGAACAAATTCTTCCAGGCTAATATTTAAGTAAAAATTGTTTCTATATTAGAGTAAATATTTAATAAATATTTATTTAGGAAAATAGACTTTTTTTTCTCATCAACGTTTTAGCCCTCATATTGTGGACCTCTTCCTTACTTATACTTACTTCCATAAGAAATTTGGCATGGTAAATTAAGATATTAGGTTTATAAGCTTCTGCCTCTCAGTGTTAATATTCGTTAGCCATTCTGATTTTAAAAGATTTTCGTGAGAGTATTGCCTCAACCAAATTATTTGCATTTTTGGTGGTATTGCCTATGGTTGTAATAAACACACATACATATATAGACACCCAATGGTGACAGTGAGAGAGTTTCCAGCTGTCCCAGATTTCCTGGGACTTTCCCAGTTCTACCACTGCAATTCCCACATAAGAAATCTGAGCTGGGCTCGGTGGCTCAGCCTGTAATCCCACACCTTTGGGAGGCTGAAGTGAGTGGATTGCCTGAGTTCACGGGTTTGAGACCCGCCTGGGCAGCAAGACCTCATCTCTACAATAAATCAAAAAATCAGCCAGGCGTGGTAGCGCATGCCTGTAATTCCGACTACTTGGAAGGCTGAGGCGGAAGGATCGCCGGAGCCCAGCAGGTCGAGGCTGCGGTGGCTGGGAGCAGCCACTGCACTCCAGTCTGGGCGACAGAGTGAGACTCCAACTCAAAAAAAAAAAAAGAAATCTGTCATTCCTGGACAAACTGGGAAGGTTGGCTACTTAATTTTGAGAATGCCAAAATAATATACACAAGTATTCTGACCACTCATTGTGTTTCACTAAATGAACTAAATTAATTGTTTTCATTTTTGAAATCTGGCTTTTGCATGGAAACTTGGTGCAAAAGATATGAAATGCTAAAATAACAGAAGTTCAGTTAAGCTAAGATCATCACTAAATCACTAGATTTTGTTTTTCCCCAGTACAGTAATATGCTCCAAGAACGAAGCAGAAATTTTTTTCTTAGTATTTCTTTTCTTTCCAAGTTATTTTTTCTTGTGTAAATATGAAACCATATAGCAAAACTTGAATGTGTCGCCAACATTATTTCTTCTATTTAGTATATTTCTCTTTAAAACAGACATATCCCCCCAGATCTGAACATTAGTAACCTATTTGTATTATAATGTAAACTCTTTTATCATTTAATATTGGAACAACTCATAGCTGTGAAGTTTTATAATTTTTTTTTATTATTTACTAATACATCTCTCAGAAATAATGACAGGGGAAACAACTACTTGAACTTTTAATGTGCAGTTGGCCAGATTCCATGGTTTTGAGTTTCCGGTTACCACAGTCTGCTGCCCCTGTGTCAGATCGTCGGTGGATTTAGTTGGAATCGCAGACGTCAGTTTGATTTGTGATCCTGTAGGCCTTTCAACCAGAAGTAGAGCTCAGGTTTTATTGTTCATACATGAATATGATAAAAAGATACTGGTAAGAGAAGGACTTTTTTCCTTGCCATATTATCAGAGTAAATTGTTATGTAGCCTGTGGGCTGGAATAGAATCTGTGCGCCAATGAATGTCTCAAGGAAACTTGTATACTCTTTGGAAATGGTGGAAGAGCTAGGCTTAGTAAGAGACATCTAGTCAAAATTCCAAAAGGGAGGTATTGTCTTTCTTATTTGCAAAAGAATAATAGATTTAAATTTGGGAAATTGTTAGCCAGTGAGAATAGTGCAAAATTAGATTTCAAAAGCTGTTGGACACTTTTCTTGGTTTCCAGTTGGTGACTTTCTTCTCTTATAGGTTAGAATAATGGGAACTGGGCTGTAGTAAGAGGGTTAGAAGTAAGGCTAAAATTATCTATTGGTTCAGGGCTAGCATTATAAATAGCACAATATCTTAAACGTGGACAGCCCCAAGAACTACAGATTATCTTTCCAATTTCCTTTACCACAGCCAAAGCACTCACCATGAGTGCACCTGCTATGTGGCTAGTACTTTGGAAATCTTTACCTGCTTGCAATACTTTATTTATGTTTTGTGCACAGAAGCCATCATTTCCCTTTTTTTGTCTCTAATTAGTTTGCCACAGCAGGAACATTTTGATCAGTTACTGTCTTGACTTACTGCATAGACTTCAGAAGCTAAGCATTACACAATTACAGAACAAAAGTAGAATTCAGTTTAGGAAGGAATTGTTAAGTTGCTCTGAATATACAGGAAACTATACCACAAAGGGCCAGCAATGATCACATTTAGAATATGTAAGAATCACTTGGGAGCTGACTGGTTTGAACAGTCCATAGATTCTGAATTCATAGGTTTGGGACGGATTCCAGCTGCATTTTTAACAAACAAAACAAACGACTCTAATGCAAGTAAGTGGTCTACACACTTTGAAAAGCAGTGCTGCCAACAGTTATACTGAGGTGCAGAATATTTTGCATAAAATAGGATAATAAGGAGAGCCATGAGACCATGAGCTTAAAAAGTGCCTCCAGTATGCTAGGCAGTGAACTAGGTGTTTTGCCAGACATAATTTCATTGGATACTCTTAGTAATCTTATAACTGTTATCTCCATTTTACAGATGAGGAACTTGAACCTCACTAAGAGGCTTTATTTTAAACAATATTGTCTCTCAAGATCTAGAAGTCAAGAATCAGAACAGTACAAGCAGAAAGATTATTTTGACAAATTATCTTCCCTACCCTTTATTACAAGCCTAAAGCTATGGGGATGACTATTAAAGTTTTGATAATTTTTATGGAAACTAATTTTGAAATCCACTCACTTTCTCTGCTTGAAACTCATTTACCTAGCCAAAACCTCCTTCCTTTGTTTTTTCTAGTAAGCTGTATTGAGGTATTTCTTTGAGACCTTTGTACTCCTTACTTTGATATCTGGTAAAGCTCTTGGTTTTAAGTGGATTCCTATGTTGTCATTGAAATGATCAACCTTCATGTTGGGGTGAGGGAGAGTGGCTCTTTTCATCTTACAGGTTCTTGTCTGCCATGACGTTAGCTATAAAAACGACCACAATCAGCCTCCAGACATAAAAGTCACTTTACTGTTAACTCTAGGTCCAAAGCTTCAAGTCACCAGGCTCCATTCTCTTCTTAGCATTCTATAATCACAGTATTGTCTGACGGGGCAGCTGCTACTGACCTATCAGTTCTCCAGACTTTAATTTTAAACCCAAGAGTGATCTATTGACCTGTGTCTTTGACTGTTATTATTGGTTAATTTGTAAGATTTGACATCTGATATTTGCTAACTTTTTATAGGGAGTTGTATTTGTAACGGAAGAAGAGAAGAATAAAAAATATTAGTTTTAAAAGTGGCCTATGTGACTGCTTTTCTAAAAAGGTATTTAATGCTCTTAGTACTTTGGCTTATCTCTTTGAAATAAAGCTAATACACAGGATTGCCTTCACGTTGTTGTACTCTTCCTTTCTTGATTGATAATTGCATTGTCTTGGAGCCTAGAAATTGTTAATATTAGCTAAAACTACTTGGCTGCTCTATTAGAAGTTATTTTTTGTCAAGTTTTTCTCAAACATGTTTCTGCCTCACATGGAGCCCCAGGTATTCGTGAGGTAATGGAGTACCTAAGAGGCCTAATTTTGTGGACACACTATGGCAAAATATAATATTGGGGTATTAACTTCTCAACTTCTTTCTTTATAAAGTAACCCCATAAGATGTCTTTGTCTATCTTTAGACATCCCAGTTGTTTGCTATCATTTAAGCCAAGAAAGCTCTTTGGTTTGCTTTTATTCTAGGCTTACTGTTTACGTAACCTAAACATTCCCCAATCTTATCTCCTACAGGTAGACTGGGTACAATGTGATGGTGGCTGTGATGAGTGGTTTCATCAAGTTTGTGTGGGTGTGTCTCCAGAAATGGCTGAAAATGAAGATTACATCTGTACAAACTGTGCAAAGAAGCAGGGGCCAGATAGCCCAGGTCAAGCACCACCTCCGTCCTTCATAATGAGCTACAAAATACCAATGGAAGATCTTAAAGAGACCAGTTAGCAGATGTTTGGTTAGTCTGGGACATGGGGGAGAAGGACCATATTGAGACCTTAGTCATCAAGTAGAGTGGTCTAGATCCACTTGGAATGTTGCTTCCAGGGATGAATGAGCTTCAGAGAGTCTTCCTAGTGCCGGCTTCCTGTTCGCGTGAACCATGTGAGCTACATTCTCTCTCAACTTATTTAAGCAGAGGGGTCTTCTTTGGTACAGCAGCCAGTATTTCAACTCATGTTTCCTTGGAGTGTAGTTTACTGCATTATGGCCTGGCAGTTGACTGAGCTTGAGGGCTGTTGGTTGGCATTAATACGTCGGTTTGCTAACAGGGCACATAGGTTGTGACTTATGTCCGGCTGATACTAGTTAGAGACTTGCAACATAGGGGCGGTGCTGTCTGAAGACGCTGGTGGTTTGGATCTCCTTTGTGGGTATTGTTGGAGAGGAGTTGGGGTGCACTTTCCTTCCACAATTTTCTGGCATTTAACGCCCTAAAGGTAACAACTCGGAGGAACAGGGCCAGAGTTACTTCTGTTCGAAGTCAAGGGGTAGCGCAGTCTGTCGTCCTCAGTTTCTTGCACTTCCTTGTGCCAAGAAGAACACCCCAGGCGCGAGAACCTCTCGCCATCTGGGGCAGATCTCCTTGTCCTTAGGAGGAGGAGGATGTCATCTAGTTCAGCAATCTGACTAGATTGGACCCTGGGAGAAGCGCTTATTTCAAGGCAGGAGCTTTTCTTTTTGGCTTTGAGAAGTCTTGTCTTGGGTCTACATTTAGGGACGAGCAGGTACTTGGATCCAGACTTCTGCACAAAAGAACAAGAAGAAGACCAGTCAGACTATCTTTCTGAGCCACAGTGATGCATGCTTTTCAGGAAAGCCTTCGTTCACAAGTATTCCAGAACCAGGCTTCAGGCATGGCCGTGAGCAAGACCAGCAAATAACAGCTTTTTGCCTTGCAGCCCTGACCCCACGTCTGCTTTTCCAACACTGCAGTTTCTGAATACGGCCCACAGCAGCTGCTGTTGACTGTAGCACCATGGCTTCCTCAGAGGATGTGGGGTTGGAGGACCTCTGGGTGATGAAGTTGTTTCAGTAAATCCATTTTTAAAAGAAAACAAAGGACTTGTTTTTACTTTTTTCTAAATGTCTCTGACTACTGACTGTTCTATAAATAGATTATTTTTCCTTTTTTAATATACACATGAATATATAAATATATATATTTACTTTTACCAGCAGCATATGACAGAGTTTCAACATCAGAAATCCATTTGGGGGCTTGCTTTTTCTTTTTTGCTTTTTAATAAAGAAATCATATTTCTTCCTTGTAGTACAAGGAGTTAGCACTCCCTTCTTCATCCTAGCCTGACCAGATCGTTCATTTTGCTTTTGTTCAGATAGGTAATTATACTTCCCTTATGTGTTGGGACCTGTCCCTGTCTGTTGGGAAATTTGGTCTCACTCTAGTCTGTGCTGGCTGTTTTTCTTTTATAGGTGAATGTTTGAAACTATGGTGCTGTGTCCTCTTCCCTCCTGCTGTGTTCTCTGTTCTTGTTAAGGTGTTAGGTAAACTGTATGCAAACTCTTACTAGAAGGGGACTAATTTTTTTTAAGGACAAAAAAAATGTACTAAAAATAGTGTTTTGTTTTCACTGTCCTTTGTCCTTTTATTTTTGGTTTAAAAATCTGTGGCTTGACTTAAATTCGTCAGTTATCCTTTTAAAGGGGGGAATGGGGTGGACCTAGCAACAGCTTCTAGTCTCCTCTTCCCTTTAAATGCCCCAGTCTCATTTAAAGAAATGTCTTCTAGTAACTAGAAGTGAAATGTACTGTCCAGTTACAGTTTGAGTGGGTATGAGATTTAACTCAAAAGGCATCTTAACTGAAAAAAAAAAAAAGCAAAAGCTTTCTTATAAAATTCAGTTTCTGTAAATTTCTCTGTGGTTCATACTACCTACTTTTCATTGACTCTTCCTGTAATACTGTATAACATTTTGAATGTGTTGACTTGTTCAGAGCTTTGTAAGTGTTGCTGTGCATGTGTCTTGAGATCGCGTCTCAAGTAATTGTATGTCTGGTTCAAGATAGTGGAAGGTAATGAATTAACCTATTTCATACATCTTTGTTTTGCCAAACTATATGAAGTTTATCAAATGAATTTCATCTGGTTCATGTTTCAGAAGAAAGCACAATATTTTTTGCCTTTTGGTCTTTGTAAAAGTCTTCAAATACTTATGGGTTAAAAATTGAATGTAATTTAATGCCTGGAATACGTTTATAAGGTTTATTTTTCCTTCATAATCATCTATTAACTATTCTACCATCAGTGGAGAGAACAAGGATGCTGAGAAAGTACGAGTAGCTTCCTGTTATCTTCTGACATTTTGAAACTTGTATCATTTACTTGATACTGTGGGATTTTCTGTATTTATTTGAAAGTCATAATAATTTGGTCTACCTTGACCAGAGGTTTAGACCAAAGCTGAGAAGAACAGAAGAGAGAAATTAGTGACAAAATAAACAAAAATGCAAATCTTCAGTTTTGTAATTAATGAAATGATATTCATCTATTTAAAGAAATGTTTGTGTTCTAATATAAAGCATTATTTTCACTTAGAGGAAATTACTTATTAACAACTTACTCCATTCTTCTGTATTGTAATATTTTGTATTAAAACTTGAGTTAAAATGTTTTTTCTACCCTTCCTGTCTTCTCAAAGTTGTGATTCTTCACCATTAATATTTTAACTTATGTGTTTAATTCTTTCAAAGGTATTTCTCACTGTCTTTATCATAAATTATTTTGGCAAAGGTTATAGAACGAAGAATGAAGGCCGGGTGCAGTGGCTCAAGCCTGTAATCCCAGCACTTTGGGAGACTGAGGAGAGGTGATTGCCTGAACCCACGGGTTCGCGAACAGCCTGGGCAACTTGGCGAGATCTCGGCTCTACAGTAAATCAAAAAATTAGCCAGGCATGATAGCACACGCCTGTAGTTCCAGCTACTTGGAAGGCTGAGGCAGAAGGATCGCCAGAACCCAGCAGGTCCACACTAGGGTGGCTGTGAGCATTCCACTGCACTCCAGCCTGGGCAGCAGAGTAAGACTCCAGCTCAAAAAAAAAAAAAAAAATGGTAGGTCTTTGATATTCTTGAAGGGTAAGTCACTAGAACTCTGCAAATCCCCAAGTTTAGAAGTACAGGTACTTAGCTTTCCAGTTGGGGAAGAGAAGGGGACATTTTCTGCCCACAAATGCTTATTTCACCTCCTGGTAGTTACTGCCACAAAGCTGTGTTGACGTGTAGATGCTGGGCTCCCTCACTAAGTTGCTGTAAACCAGCTTTGCCTGCGTGATTCATACTTGTGCCTCAGTAAAATTATAAATTACTGCAGGTCACACTTTGGACAAATGAAAAGGCAAACATTAAATCCGTGGCTGCCCACAATCTACTGTAATAATTAAAAACGTGGCAGCCAGGTGCAGTGGAGTGCACTTGTAGCTGGGAAGCTGAGGCGGGAGGAACACTTGAGCCTTAGGAGTTTGAGTCCAGCCTGGGCAACATAGCAAGACTCATCACTTAGAAAAATGAAAGGTGGCCGGACTCAGTGGTTCAGCCTGTAATCCCAGCACTTTGGGAGGCTGAGGCATGTGGATTGCCTGAGCCCGTAGGTTCAAGACCAATCTGGGCAACTTGGCAAGACCTTGTCTCTGCAACAAGTCAAAAAAATTAGCTGGGCGTGGTAGCATGCGCCTGTAGTTCCGGCTACTTGAAGGACTGAGGCAGGATCGCTGGAGCCCAGCAGGTTGACACTGGGATGGCTATGAGCGTGCCACTGTACTAAAGCCTAGGTAAGAGAGTGAGACGCCAACTCAAAAAATAAATAAAAGGCAGAGACTGACAGATCTGTAAGATTAGCATGATTTTACCTGTGCTTTGCTTCTGTTCTTCTCTACTTTTGTGTTTAACCAATGCCCAAGAAGTGTCAGTTCCTTTGTGTTTCTTAATTTTTAGGCTCTGGATGCAATTCGGTACACGTAAAGTCCGTCCATCCTGGGCAACTTGGCGAGACTTTGTCTCCACAATAAATCAAAAAACTAGCCAGGCGTAGTTCTAGCTACTTTGAAGGCTTGAGGCAGGAGGATCGCCTGAGTCCAGCAGGTTGAAGCCACTATGACCATGAATGTGCCACTGTACTCCAGCCTGGGCGACAGAGTGAGACTCCGACTCAAAAACAAAACAAAAACATGCTTGTCAATATTTTTATTCTACAGTACATGTGTGTGAATATCAGCCAGTACTTAAAAATTAGGAGTATCCACTTTTCAAAGGAGAAAGTGACATTTTTTAGTGGGTTTTGAAAATTGTAAACTGGAAAAATTGATCAGTTGAAGTCCCACATATAACCAGGTTCAGTAAAGTTTCACATGTGAATTAGCTTCATATGTATGTAGAAAGTTGCCTTTGCAGTAGGTCCTCACATATTCTTTTGAAATCCCTCCTCCTTTTCTTCTTTTAAATTAAAGCATTTCCATTACTTATTTGGATATGAGTGCGCCAAGTGGTATTTATAGTATGAGAGGGAAAGAATGGATGTTGATAGATTTTTGCAATCTTGGTTGTCTCTTGGCTTGGATCATACCTAGTTACCACTATGCAACAAATGATGTTTACTGGGTAAGAGTATGATTGGTCTTTAAAGCTGTGTCTTGCTTGTTCTTATTTTAGGAATACTCTAAGCTGCCTAAACAGAAATGTCTTGTAAACTTCAACTCCCTATCGATTATTCCCTTACATATTTATTTACAATTTACCAGGGTTATTGGTGGTGCCTTATGAAAAGTATAACTTTATTTCTTGAGTTTTGAGCATGTTTTGTGTTTTTTGTGTTTTCTGAAACAATGTTCGATATGGTTCACTGCATTACATCTAAAAGACTAAAAAAAAAAGGTGTGTATGCTCAGGTTTCCCACCCTAACCTCCGTCATTTACATTGGTGGCAACTTCAAATGGTAACCAAGTAAAGGTGAATGAATATTGATAATCCTGAGGAAATTAGCAAGTATATGGGAGCCCCACTTTTAACCTGTGCCAAAGCCATTTCTAATATTTCATTTGCTCTCTAACTGTAAAATAAAGGACTGATCTAAGATAATTTGATCAGTGGTGTGATGAGCCTATTATCATTGCTGAGAATGGTGTTTTTGGAAGGTGTGAAGTAGAAGCGATTCCTGAAGATTTCACCTGCCTTCTCTTTTCAGCAAGAATCCAGCAATGACCAAACACATTTCCTCACCTTTGGATCTTGAGAGAAACATATCTCTTTGCATTGAACCAGTGATGGGGGAAGGAAGAGGTGCTTTTCTTCTCTCTTTGGCCCTTTAATGCTCACAACTAATTCAAGCCCCAAGCGACTTTAGAGAAGTAAATGGCACTTTCCCCCCATTGCCAAGGATGCCAGGTTACACAGGGATGATGGACACAGGCTTGCTGGAAATGAAAGGTTCTATGTGCAACAGAACCAGCCTCAGATAGTTTCAGGAAGCGTGTGATGCTGTGTATATGCTAGGAGAAGAGCTGATTATCCCAACTTGGAAAACAAATTTCTTGCTAACAAAAGATACTCGAAATTTCTTGAGGTGATAGATCCTTTTACTTTTTTAAAATTGTGTAGCGAGCCGGGTTCCATGGCTCAGCCTGTAATCCCGCACTTTGGGAGGCCGAGGTGAGTGGGTTGCCTGAGCCCGTGTGATAGCGCGCGCCTGTAGTTCCAGCTCCTTGGAAGGCTGAGGCGGAATGGTCGCCGGAGCCCAGCAAGTCGAGGCTGCGATGGCCGGGAGCAGCCACTGCACTCCAGTCTGGGTGACAGAGTGAAACTCCAACTCAAAAAAAAAAACGTGTAGGGGTGTCCCAGTTTAGATCAAGTCTTTTTTGGGGCCTGGATGTTGTGTTTGGTTCCAATAAGGAATCGATCCAGAATTTCTTCACTTAACCATTAGCTGGAAAATGATGAGACATTTCACACATGATAAAAGAACAGTACAAAAGAATACAAGCACAAACACTATATTATATGAATAAAAGTGATTTTGGGATTTCTTGACTCTTCTCACGTGTTTGCTTTTAAAAGGTGTGTTTCTACTCCGGTAGGAAAAAGGATGACTATATTTCCATATGTTAAAGTTCCATGAATTACCTTTATTAGGTGATGTTTTTCTCTGACCTTATCTTTTGCAGCTTGGATGTATATCTTGTCAATGGGGAAAAAGTCACCGCAAGAAGCATTACAAACGGCTTGGTGGTCCCAGCTGGTGAACCTTGTGTTAAGGAACCCTTTTGAGTTGTCAGGGACGTAGAGATGAAGTCAGAATTTTCTGTAATTTAAAAAAGCCTAGATGAGAACCTTAGAATTATATAATGCAAAACACTCGAGTTAGGAATCAAATAATCTGGGTTTTGGCTCTGTGTTTGGCCTTGGTTTCCTACTATATGTGAGTAAATTTGGGTGGATACAAAGAAACTCAAGTCAGCCCCTCCCCTTGACAATATAAGGCATAGGTGATTGTTTTTTTTAACATGTTTAAATAAGTGGTCCTCATACAGGTAAAGTTTGGGCCTCCCTTTGGTCCCCACTTCGCCTGGTTTGAGATCAGGTACTGTTATTGATGTATGTGCCCTCTCCTTCCCTCCCCTGGCAGTTTCCAGCTACTGCCAATCCCTTTCTTATAGTATGGTAAATGTTCAGAGTCTGCTAATGAGTGAGAACATGTGGTACTCAGTTCTTTGTTTCTGTGATAGATCACTGAGTATTATAGACTCAGTCCATAATTTTGTTCTTTATGGCTGCATGATATTCCATCGTGTATATGCACCACATTTTTTTTATCCAGTTCACTTTTAATGGGCAGCACAGTTGGTTCCATGTTTTTTCTACTGTGAATAGTGCTGCGGTAAACATGCATGTGCAGGTATCTTTTTAGTAGAATGATTTGAGTTCCACCCAACATGTTTCCAGAAAGAGGATTGCTGGGTTGTATAGAAGGTTGATATTTAGATCTTTTAGAAATCACCACACTGTCTTCTACAGAGGTTGTACTGGTTTACACTCCCACCAACAGTGTAGAAGGATTCCCTGTTTCTCACATCCTCTTCAGCATCTGTTCTGGGGATTTTCTTGTTTTATTTTGTTTTAGCTGGAATCTTATTCTGTTGCCCAGGCTGGAGTGCAGTGGCACGCTGATGGCCACCGCAGCCTCAACCTGCTGGCCTCAGGTTATCCTTCTGCCTCAGCCTTCCAAGGAACTGGAACTACAGGCGTGAGTCACCATGTCTGGCTAAATTTTTTTTTTTTAATTGTAGAGATGAGGTCTCACCAAGTTACCCAGGCTGTTCTCAAACCCCTGGTCTCAAGCAATCCTCTTGCCTCAGCCTCCAAAAGTGCTGGGATTACAGGCTTGGGCCAACGTGCCCGGCCTACTTTTTTAGTTATTGATGATGGCCATCCCGACTGGAGTTAGGTGTGGTTTTAGTTAGCATTTTTTTGATGAGGCTGAGCATTTTTTCATTTATCTGTTGGCTGCTTGTATGTCTTGTTTCTTACTAAAAAGGTTATAGAATTTAAGACTGTGGAGTCCAAATCCCCATTTAATGAGTGAGAAATGGATCCAGTGCCCTGAGAAGGGAACATAAAGTTTCTCTATTTACCATC